AGGTCGCACGCTAGAACGCTCTTTTATATATGCCGCCACACACGCTCGTGGGTCGGTGGCGAAGGTAGACGTACGCGCGCGCGCCAACGTGGACACGCGAGCGCGTGCATTACGCATCGTTATGAATTCATTGGTATCGCGATTGTGCGACGTACGATCGACATAAATCGATCAACCGCCTCCATTCGATAGGATCGATAGGTGATCTGCTGCCTTGCTACTCGAGAGAGAGAGAGAGAGAGAGGGAAAGAGTTTTCCTTTTTTCTCGAGCGGACGAGAGAAGAGTAATAAAGGCGGGGGAATAGGGAAGGGAGGGAGGGAACGCAAACGGTTTCAATCGTGGTTTTTACGACTAATAAGCGATGGCGAACGGAACGATTGCGACGAATCTGCCTTCCTGTGCCGGTGGCAGATTTTCTAGGCGCAGGCCCTCGCGTCGACGCTGGGCAAAATAGAGTCGGCCGCTTATTTTAATTCCCGCAGAGTTCCGCACGTACGTCTACGACCCGTTACGGCCGGCATAACAATGCATGACGTAACTCTGGGGTCGAATCCTCCTTACCTCCTCCGTGCAACGATGTTACAGGAAAGTGAAACTCTCGGAAACCAGGTCACACCCACATCGTGCTCGCAGCAGTGAACCGCGATGCCGATCTACGAGACTCCCCTTTTAACTCCGCGCTGCCAAGATACTTTTCAATCCGGCCCGAGGGAGCAACGTACGGAGGGGAAGGAGAGAACCTCTCTCTCTCTCTCTCTCTCTTTCTCTCTCCCTGTTTCAAAGGGTCTTCCCCTGCTCGTACAAACGGATTTTCACCAGTTTTTTCAACCGAAGTCTTTCTCTCTCTCTCTCTCGATTCGATGTTGCCTTTCGTGTAGAGTCGGTCGGACAATCTTTTATGTCCTACTTAAAGGGTCGACGGAGCAATAAAAGTTCGAAGGTTCAACGAGATGATATTGAGAAGGAGTTGGAGAGGAGGTAATTAAAAGCGGATAGGAACGTGAACACTTTTCGAGGAATTTCTTAGGAAAATTTAATCATCCTTCCGAGAAATAATCACACCGACGGTATTCCCATTTCAATTTATAACACATTGGAGACCTTGGTTACTTGCAACACAATATTATTCTGTTTTAGTGGAATAACAGGTAATAACAGGTGTTGCGGTGTTTCCTGATAATTCGTCAAGCATATTTCATCGGCTTTCGCTGGTATTATAATTTTTCCAAATCGATCTGTATATATATATGTGTATATGTGTGTGTGTGTGTGTGTGTGTGTGTGTGTGTGTGTATGCGTGTGTGTATGTATTTTATACGCACGTTTTTCCTTTATCTGATATCACGAGCTTAAGAAGCATACCGTTCAAACACTCGTGTTCAAACAAGACCGAGACCAAGCGTGAATACGCTCGCTTGTACGCGTTCCTCTTTGATCAAGGGAAAAGAAACGGGTGCGTGGGTGAGAAACGATAGACCTGGCCCTAACCCATATACTCTTGCAGCCAGAACAGAGAGCGAATAACGAATAATAAATGGATAAACAATAGTAGTACAATCCGTGTAGCTAATAATATTTCAAAAATTCGACTGTCAAAAAAAGAAAATCCGTGGAACTTGTGATCGACGAAAATTGTTCGAATTACTTGAAAATTTCAAGATTCCGTCATCTTCCAGGCGAAATTATCATCGATTCCAAATTTTTTGGATTCCTCATTTGCTCATCGAGTAATCCGTCTTTGAAGAATTTCAAAATGTTATTCCCCTGTTATTCTTGTGAAACGAATGTTACGTGTTTATATTCCAAACTCTTGAACTCTGATTCCTCGCTCGTCATTGATGCGAGTATTCGAATTATTCGAGAATTTCAAAATGTCATTCTTGAATGTCAGTCAGCCACCTTCAACACGAATCTTTAACATATTTCCTACGTGTCGAGTCAATGGAACAGCGAATCACGCCGTTCTTCTCACGGCTATGCCGAAATCCACTCTTCGACCGTGTATTGGTTGGCATTGCTCGCGTCTAAAACTAGCGACGACCGCGACATCGTACACGTAGACAACTCGGCGTCAAAACTCGTTGCATTATGTCACACTTTTAACGCGGTACACAGTATCACGTACACCTGTACAACTGCATACACCTGGACAACTTCTAACCGTTCGACGGAAGCGCTGTTGTTCGATCCCTATTTTCCTCGAAGATGATCGACTTCTTGGGAACGATTTCTTGGAATCCGAAAAGAATACGCGTATATATAACTGGTATCTCATATCAGGTTCTCCATTACGTAACGTTTAGGATAATTAAAGTATCGATTAGTCCGCAGCAGGTGTGTCAACGTTACTCTCCAACGTCACGAAACCAACGGAAAGTCGCGCCTCGTTATTTACATCGACGATCGAGTGAAACGTGCACATATCGGTGCCACTCGTTCCTCAAACGTTTCCCTCTTTTCAAACGATCGAGGAAATACTTGCTTCGTTCTAAGAAAGTTGCGTTAAGCTCGATTGTTTCTCGATTGGAATATCTCGTTGTTTGATTTTTGCAGCGTGTGGCAGTCGTATTTCGATATATTTAGATCGCGGTAGTTCTAGCCTGGGACAAGTTGACGTAAGCTAACGACTAATTATGTTACCCTCTGGACTAGGACGCCAAGCGAATCGTAAATTTTCCATCTTTTATCCTCGAGGTTAAGGTTCTTCAAGAATCGTCGATTTCTTATCCTATAGAGTGTTTTCTTCCGTTTTGTTAAAAAAAAAAAAAAAAAATTTCAAAAAAAGAAAATAAATAAATAAAATAACGAAAGATGAGCGATCTATTGGTGTCTCGCGAGGAATGAATTTGTATTCTTAATTACTAGTAAATATATGGAATGATTATTCCAGCATTGAATTGCAAATAATGTCTATTTATCATAATGTGGATAAAGTTGCAATTTTTTTCCATCAGTTTACTATATAAAACTTATATCTTTGTATGTTTTACTGAATAGTAATCGCAATTTGAAAGGAAGTGAACACGCGTGCGTTAAATTGCGTCCAGCAAGTTGGAAAACCTGTTGATCGATTCCGAGCCACGTGGATTAAAATTATTCCGCGCTATTTTCTCATCCATCTCTGTAATTTTTAATACGAATATATTTCAAGAAAAACTTAAAGAGAGAAAAAATAAATAAATAAACGTTTGCATCTGTAAAAGAAAAAAAAAAAAAATAGACGTCGACGCTACATAGCGTTGAAACGTAGCGTTCCGTCGTTTCTTTAACATACTCTACCGTGAAAAATTCGTTTGTCCAATTGCATCGTGCGTACCGGTCCGCTTCCGGGTGCAATTTCACCCGGTGCAGCGGGCCTCGCACGTGTAAAGTCGAGATCGTCGAGCACGCAGCACGCTCGTATCCTGTTCCGCCACGATGCAAAAAGAACGATCGTCACAATGGTGTTAATCTATTTATCTGACTAACAACAAACTTATCTTCTGACTCATTCGCCGACGGATTCGCGCGCGGTTCAGAGAGACGATTGCTTTCCGCTCGCGCGCCCATCGTCCACGACTACGCTTGATTTTTATTCGCTCGATTAATAAATCAACCAAGCTTTTTTTTTTATCGTCGCTTTTCTTGTAGAGTAAAGGAGAGAGTAAATTTGTAAATACTCTTCATTTCTTTTTTTTTTTTTTTTTTTTTTTAGATCTCGCGATTTTTTATGCGAACTGTAAGAAAATTTCTTCCATTGTAAGATAAAAATGTCTCGTCATGATTGTACTTTGCAGAGAAAGAGAGAGATTGTAGAAGATTGATGGATTGGTATGAAATATGTATATTTTAAATTGTTTTTGTATAAGTATAAGAACAATGATAAGAAACACTTTGTTACACTTTCTCAATATATATATATATATATTTTTTTCTTTTTTCGATACGAATTTGCACAATTATGAGTAATTATGGGAGCAACTATGAATGACTCAATGATTTCGTATTAATGGATATTCCACGTTATCTGTATGTTGTCTAGAGATAAAGTAGTACTCTTAAAACCGTTCTCCCTGGTGGCCGTTGTTTATCTCACTTTTTATTTGAATTAGATGTGACGAGAGGGGAGGGGATATACCAAGTGTTAGATTATTATACCAAAGTAGTGTGGAAGATGATCAAAGAATGCCATAATTTTTTTTATATCAAAATATATTTGTGCATAGACAAGAAGACAACCGTGACAGGTAATCTCGTACCTAACATACATCAGTCATACGCCAAGGAACGCGTGCACACGAACGTACGCGTGTGCGGGCATGCGCGACATTCACGGACATGCGTACACACATTTTGCGTGTCATGTACGCGTACACGCGTTTTTTTTTTTTTTTTTTTTTTTTTTTTTTTTTTTTTATTTGAGTCGTGCATCACCGAGAGACCCGAAAAACTTCTTAGAAAAGAAAATAAAATAAAATAAAAGGACAAAAGGAAAAGAAAAAGAAAAAGAAGAAGAAGAAGAAGGAAATATTTAAACTTGTCGCACAAGTACGTATATAAGGTAACAAGTGTCGTTCTCTGTCGCGCGCGAAGAAGTTCCTCTACGGGACAAGGAAGACGACGAGAAGACGAAAAGGAAAAAAAGAGAGAAAGAAAAAGAAAAAAAAAAAAAGAATGAAGCCCGCTTCACGCGATTTTTACGGTAACTCAAAGTGGAAAGGGATTCGGTTGTGGGCCGAGTCCCAGGTAACGTCGGCGACTTTATCTATCTATCTATCCTCTCTTCCATTCTCGCCGCATATTTCCTAACTTGTCGTTCGCATTAAAACGTACGCAATAATTACAACGATCGGTTTATTGAACACATGCTCGCACACATTCGACAATTTTTTATATTTTTTTCTTTTTTAATCTTCTCTCTCTCGCTCTCATCCTTTCTCTCTCTCGCTTTCACTCTTCTTCTTTCTCTCTTCCTCTCTCTCTCTCTCTCTCTCGTTCTCTCTCTTTCGCTCGCTCTTTCTCTCTCTCTCTCTCGCAAAAAACACGAGTCCGCTTCGTTTCGTTTCTCTAACAAAATATATTAGCTTTTTTTTTTTTTTTTATGTACATACATCTCGAATATAATAAAATTAAAATATAGAGCTATAATACAAGGGCGTGTGTGATAAAGAGTGTGCTTTTCTTTCTTTTTTTTTTTTTTTTCTGTGGGCATATGTGGGTGTTGTTCGCGTTTCCTTTCCTCGGTTGGTCGGGTCGCATCACTCCTGCCGAGAAAGAGTACGATGCGCGAATCGAGAAGGTAGCGTTAACGTCGTTATTTTTCATTTCGATACTGTTTCGCAAAAATTACGGTATCTCGGTATGATGCCTTTTTTTAGGTACTTGGTAATGAGAATGATTATCTAATTTAATCGGTCGATATATATATATATATATATATATACACACATATATATATGTATATATCTATAAGTCTGAACGTAACGCGGTGCACGTGTACATCGCGTCCATCGCATCGTCAATATGTAAACATATATATGTACTCTGCCATGTGTGTATGTTCTATGAATGTACGTGTGCGTGTTTTCCTTCGCACGTGTGTATGTGCGATCGGAGTAAGGTGCATCGAAAATATATAACATTAAGAGAATCGAAGATTTATGCGAGCGAATTTACGTATGCGCGCGTTGATTACAAATATTCTCTTAGGTGTGATCGTTTTGTGTGTGTGTGTGTGTGTGTGTGTGTGTGTGTGTCTAAGTGTATATGTGTATATGTATGTAAATGTAATTGATGCGTTTGTACACATCGATGCGCGATTTGTTCAGAGTCGCAACGCGTCTCTCCGTGTTGCGAATTACGCGATCGAATGAGGCGGCGAACCCGCGAAACACGCGGTGATCACCACCCAGTCTTACGTACATTGAGAAAAAAAGAAAAAAGAAAAAGAAAAAAAAAATAAAAGTTAGACACGAAAAAAAGAAGAAGAAGAAAAAAAAAAAGAAACAAAGAAGATCGGACGAATCGATCGCCCATCCTTAATCTTAATTTTCGTTTATCTCTCGCGTAAATTCCAAAGGGTCAAAGAAAAGAGTCGCAACAACATGGCGGCTGCGCGAAAATCTCGAAATTGCTCGTGGCTTTTTTTTTTTTTTTTTTTTCTCCCCCCGTTTTTCTCCATATCTTTTTCTCCGTATTGTTGTAACGCGTCGTATTAACAGACGAACAGAGAAAGTGTCCGATGCACTTGGTGTAAATAAAAGTTCGCCATGAGCAGAGGCACTTTTCTTCCAACACGTGAAAAGTTGTCGACGTAAGCTCCAGCTGCCGAAAAGCTTCTCCTCGGGCGAAACCGACGAGCGTCTCTTCTTCAAACGAGTCACGCCTCTTCCTCCTTCTCTCTGTTATTCCTCGCTTCTTCTTTCCCTTCTCCTCTCCTCGAGGATCCGTCTTCCTCTCCGTTTTCCATTCCCACCGCGTCTTTTCTTCTGTCCGCGATCCGCGTGTCGTTTCTCTCGAGGGAACGCACGTGCACCTCGCGTTCTCCGCGTGATGGAACGGGACAAAAGACGCAGTAACGGCCGCGATGCTCGATCCAGGACGTTCTTCTTTACTTTTACCCGGATGACGCGGACGCGAAAGGATCGAGAGGGAGCGTCGGGCGAGCATCCGGAAAGCGGAAGTCGTTTCGAGGCGCGTCTCTTTCGCAATGGTATCGATTCGAAAGGGAAGGGACGAAGGTCGACGGCGGTGGACGAGAGAAAGGCGCGATACGCGCGGCGCGATGGCACCGCGATGCTCGACGAGGATGATGACGTCGTGCGCTACATGGGTCCCACCGCGTGTTGCTGGAACTGATCGAGATGCCTCGAGATCTCGCGGTGCAATTGTTCCGGTACCACTCCGACGCTGCTGAACAAAGACCTGAGAACGTTGAGCTCCTCCGTGAGCAGTTCGATCCTCTTCTTGAGCAGGTCGTTATCCTTAACCAACAGCTTCACCTTCTCCTCGGTCTCCCTCGATCGTACCTTTGCCTTCTCGCGGCTCTTTCTCACCGCTATGTTGTTCCTCTCGCGACGCCTTCTGTACTCGTCGCTCGCCTTGTCGATCGTCTTCGTCTGTTTTCTGGCAACGGCGGCGGCAGTGTTCGCGTGGTGTTGATGGGCCATCACCGGTTTCATCGGCCCGCCCCGTGGCGGTGGTTGATGGACCGGTGCACCGGGATGGCCACCCGGTACCGTGGACGGTGTCAAAGTGGTGAAGGTCGGCGCTCCGTTCGCGAACGGCCCGTTCGTGACCGGGCTGTATCCACCGGGCGGATATTGCGGGCAGTGGCGGCGATAATCCGCCGGGTCTAATGGTTCCTCTTTGATGCTGGGCGACTCGGAACTCGAGCTGTTGCTGTCGCTACAACTGTTGCTGCCCTGGTGATAACTCGCTCCGCTGTGGACAGGTTGCGGCATGTAGGCGAGCGTTGTGCGTGGATAACCCGGCGTTCTCACGTGCTTCACCGCTCCGTTGTTCGCCCCCAACATGTCCAACAGGCCGTCGTTGAAGTGGCTGTCGTCGATCAGGTGCTGCAGATCTAACGATATCTCGGGTGTGTTCAGGTCTGTCAGCTCGCCGGCCGCGGCGCAATGTTCCGCGTATTGTTGGTGAAGGCTAGCCTTGCTCGCCGAGACCTTGCTCACCACCGAACCGCTTTGCTGCTGGCTGTGATTATGATTCACTTGAAGAGCCGAGTTGTTGTTATTCGCAGCGTTGTTGTTATTGTTGTTGTTGCTCTGATGATTGTTGTTGTTGTTGTTGTTGTTGCTGAGTACCTGAGACTTCTTAAGATCGGCCGCACCGTGGGCCTGGGCCTGATGGGCCGCTGAATCGTACATGACTGGTGACTCCATTGCCTTCACTCGCACATCACAAATACCGTAATATCTTTCCGCAATTCTGTCCTATCACCTTCTTCTTTTTTTTTTTTTTTTTTTCCTACTCTTTACCGAGTAGATATCCGATCGTTCGTAAAATCGATTCTTGTTCTTTAATCCTTGTTATTACTTTCTTTTAATAATAATTACGCGTACTCTCGTACTCTCGGTGTCACGGTGTTGTCCGGAAAAAAAGACAGAGAGAGAGAGCCAAACGTATCGCTGTGAAACTTTACCACGAGAGAACGAGCTCGTATGGCAAGTCGGGAATTTTCCTGTGCGGACGAGCCGAGATCTGACACTGGTCCAAGTATCAAAACGTGACCCTCGACTATTCCAATTTTCGAGGACGAAGACGAGCATCTAATGTTCGATCGTTTTAGAGAAACGCGATTGTTTCTTCTTCGCTTAAAACCGCGTGGTTCGTATGTGCCAACGCGTTCACCACGCCTACGCGGGCTTTTTCGTGCTCGCGGTTACGGTACACCACAAGGAATGATGAGAAACCGAGAAAACGATACCACCCGCATGAGAGCTGGCGCACGACTGAGCGGCTTTGCGGCATGTCGCAAGCTTTCAATGTGGCGTGCGTCGAGAGCAACTCCATGGCTCATTGCGCTTGCGCTCGCCCTCTCACCCGCTCTCCCCGTCTCTTTCCTCGTGAACCGATCCGCGCTAAGAGCGTGGATACCGCGCGTCCACCATGTTCGCTCTTTCTCTCTCCCTCTCCAGTTTTCTCGAATTACTCCTTCCTTCTTTCTTCCTCTCCTTTCTATCTTCCCTTCCTCCTTCTCTGTCGCTCTTTCCCTCTCTCCTAAGCTAAATCTTTCTTTGTTCGTTTTAGAGGCTGACATGCTGTCGTGTTCCGTCGCGGCATCGCGCGACAGGAAAACTTTTCCGGTGCTCGCCTTTCTCGGTTCTATTTATAAGAACTTATATACGAATCCACCGTCCTTTCGATACACGGATTTTCCACAGAAATTGGAAAATTTTCCTCCCGATTTTTATCTCTTGTACAATTGTTTCTCTTCCGATTGTGTATGCGCCTCCCGACGATAGCTCCGTTCCGTATATAACGTATGGAGAATGCGCGATTTGTTTCGCGGGACAAGTTACTCGACGATTATCGTTACCGTCATCGTTGGGCACTCGATCGGAACCGATTTCTATGTAATAGCGGGTACATTTGATTTGTCAGTTAGCGCATGCTGATATCTGTCCAATTGCTTGCGTGAGATTGCGCAATTAGCAGTAACAAAGTGAGAGAGAGAGAGAGAGAGAGAGGATATGATCGGTGATAGATGCAAGATCTTTTGCATGAATTTTATAGGGATCGAATGAATAATAAATGATGTTTATATTACCGAAGTGTCTTTTATCCGTATCGTAAAATATTACGAGCGGTTTCGTTTAAATTTGGAACAACATCTCGTCGAGAGGAGAATTTGAACTTTATGATGCATGGTTTTAACTGTTCTATCTTTGTTTTAGGAGACCGCGTCCTTTGATGTTATATCTAGGAATGCATTTTGCGCGCTGCAATGACGTCGATATACAATTTTGGATTGACATTTATGTTGGGAGAATTTCGAATATTCCTCCAAGCGCGTAAATCAACGCCGCCAACGACATCTTGAAACGAAGAACGAAATTATTACCAGTCGGTACAGTGTTTCCGAACCGATCTAGAACGAAAAGATCCGAATTCGACCGAATTTCTTTGCCGTGATATTAGCCACAACAAAAAATTGGTAACATTCGCTTGAAAACTTTTCGGCAATACATGTTCTTCGCGTTCTTTTTGTGATTCAGCGTTGTACCAGAGAATACAGTGCTTCGTCAAGCCAAGGTACGTAATGAATTTCGATAGGTTATTTTTCTCGCGCGTTTCGTATTGTTGGTCCGTTGTGGGTCTTTACGAGTGTCTTTGACGGAACGATTCGTATCATGTACGCGTATTGTTATGACAAAATACAAGTAACACGTCATGCAAAGCATTTTCAAAAACTAGATTAGAACGAATTTATGTTATATCGTGACACTTTTCTTTTTTTTCTAATTTTACTTTATTAAATATTTTCAAACACATCGTATACGAATCGTTTGAATATTTTTAGGCTTAACCTAAACAAAATCTGGTACATACAATTCAACACGAGATAGCAACTTTTTGCTTCGTCTACATTTTAGAAACTTTGACCTTCGTCTTATAATGTGTATTGCTTCCCCCTTTTTTCTCTTTCTCTCTCTCCCTTTCTCTTCCTCTCTCTCTCTCTCTCTCTCTCTCTCTCTCTCTCTCTCTCTCTTGTTTTGTTACGATTCTTTAATTATTATATTAAATAAATATTTTTTTTTGATCATATAAATATTTGATAACAGAGATTTTTGTATTCAATGTGTCCTTCAATTTATCCTCGTGTTTATGTTAATATTATTGTTATTGTTAATATTACTCTGTTTAATATATCTTAGCTTGTTATGTTATTGAAACTTGTTTTTCCAGTTCTAAAATAAAAGCAAAGTTCATTAAAACATTGGGTGTCAACAATGGCAGATGAACAACAGCAGTTTTTTCTTAAATGGAATGATTTCCAATCTAATATGGTATCGTCGTTTAAACATTTACGAGATGAAAAAAGTTTCACGGATGTGACATTAGCTTGTGATGGTCAAACTTGTAAAGCACATAAGATGGTGTTATCCGCTTGTAGTCCTTATTTTAAATCCTTATTAGAGGTATGATATTATTATTCTAATTTGAAATATAACTTTTGCACGATAAGAGGATTAAGTAACAAAATTTTATAGGAAAATCCGTCCAAACATCCCATCATAATTTTAAAAGATGTCGCATACAGTCATCTTCAAGCTATTTTGGAATTTATGTATGCAGGAGAAGTTAATGTTTCACAAGATCAATTGCCTGCATTTCTTAAAACTGCTGATCGACTTAAAGTTAAAGGATTGGCAGAAGCACCAGGTGCCATTAAGAGAGAGGGTTAAAGTTACACTTATAGTTATGGTAAGAGTTAAATTTTATCGGTTGATTATTATTTTTATGCTTTTATCCAATCTGGTATCTGCACTTCCTCTTCCAGGATTTTGGGAAGCGTGCGGACTGAAAAAAGTGTAATAATGTAAAGTGATTGCGTAAAGACATAACACACATTATAAAAAACACACTACGTGTGCACAACTCAGTGTCCTCTGGTTCATGACTTGGATCAACATACCACGACAATGTAAATTATGCCTTTTCTTAATCTCAGTTAATGTTAATGTTGTATTGAATGTATGTATACAAATATGGTAGAGATGAAATGTTGATGTTTGTCTTGAACCTGTTGCGCCATGTAGTGGCGACAGCAACATTGATTATTTTTTTAAAACAAAGTGCTGCAAAAAACTAATAAGTGGGTCACCATAGTTTACAATACACGAGACAGTTTTGTGGATCATATGGAAATGTTAAAAGACATCTTTACAACTGCTGTTTTTAAAATGGATCTATTGACTCACTATACTTTCCTATCGGTGGTTTTATAGTAGATTTATTCACGAAATATTAAAATTTCTTGAGTTTATATTATATATGGCTAAAAGTAATTTTTTTACTGTTCTTTTTCTATTGTAAAGAATAGTGCAATACGTTTTTGTAATATAACTCGAATAAAATATATTCAAGAAATAAAATTGTATGATGTATTAAAAAATCAATGTATATTATACATTGTTATACATGTTATATTAATAATATAATATAGTTTTGCTGGCATTGACTTGCAAGAAATTTAGATCATATCGTGAATAGATCTGCAATACCCCGATAATCCCATGAAAGAATGTTAAATCAAGTTTACTGGAAGTTGTAACATGCGTGTCGTATTATTGCTCTCTTTTATTATTTGCAATATATTTGGTTTAAGTGTATATACACAATTATTTCTCAAATTATTCTCAGAATATTAGATGGTTATTCACGTAAAAGTTTATTCAATCGAGAAAACGCGAAATTGAAACAAAATAAACAAAAAAAAAAAAAAAAAAAAACTTTGATGTGAATAAATATTTCTAATATTTCAAGCAATAATCGTGTGTATGTATTCAACCGAATATAGTATAAGTAGATTGATAAATCGTGTCGTTTCTCATCGATGAATATTTATAATTGGAATTGAAGTAATAGTTTCGCTCATGTTTAATTCAATCGGTACCAGTTACCTCTTCTAGTGATCATGATTTTTTTACTTAACCAAATACTGCCAGTATTTATACCGGCGTATTCACAATATTACCGATAGACCAAATTTATTTATGATAATAATATATATTAAGGGTTGAATATCTTAAATCGAGGGAAGGTTATTGTAATATAAGCGAAGCAAATTTTTGTAAAGTCGGAGCGCACAGTTCCTTTCCCCTCCCGATGAATCAGGATAATCAGAGATTTAAAGAAAAGAAAGTCAGGAAACATTATCGAGTCAAGAACATACGTATGTATTAACATGCGTTATTAACATAAAAACTATTTTATCTTTTACTATATAATATCATAAATATATCCAAAAATTTTATTATTTTTATCTTGAACTATTAATTTTATTTCTCTCGTAAGCTTATGGATTATATTTTTCGCTTTATTATTATTATTATTATTATTATTATTATTATTGCTATTATTTTCTTATTTCTTAATATATTCGATTTAATTCTTGACTTCTTTTATTTTTCCTTTTTTAAAAATTATTTCTAGCATAATGTAATTATTGAAAAAACAAAAAAAAAAAAACAAAAAAAAGAATAGATATATTTACGTTTCATGCGATTTTTAAATTCATATTTAGTAATCACGAGTACTTCTACAACACCGAATGCCAATTTAGGAGTATACACTCGTATCTTATAATATACTTGAAGCATATTGGAAACAAAAATGAATTGTCGTAGCACAATTTTATCTGTTTTTTTTTTTTTTTTTTTTTTTTTTTTTTTTTTTTTTTACTGCGTCGGATGTTCTTGTGAACGTTGATATGATTGTATGATTATTTAAAAACAACAAATGACGTTCGAGTGAAATTTTTGTCTCGATTATATTGAATGAATTTATTAAGAACGATTGTTGTAATTATGAATGATAAATGTACGAAATGGGACCAGCCATAACGAACGTCATACCAGCCATAATGATACTATTGGAATTGACTTCAGTCAGGTGCATTTTTTTTTTAAATATGCTCGATAATATATTAATCTTTTTACTTGTTTATTTTTAATAGTATAAAATAAAGCTGAAAGAAAATTTTTCACAGTCATCCGATAGCAAGTCATACTTGAATAGAAAAGAAAAGAAAAGAAAAGAAAAGAAAGGCATGACAACCGTGTCTGTTCATTGTATTTAAGACAGCCTTTAACATTAAGATGGTTGGGTTCAGTTCCTACAATGACACGTTTATCGGGCATTTGGTGATTACAGTGCGAATTGTACCATGTGTATTTCCTAAAGCGTCAACTTGAATTGTATACATTATAGAGTAGAAGATGTTATATGAGTGATGATCTGAAATATGTTCGCAACTTGTTGATTAACTTTCCTCCATATTCTTAACCAGTTACACAAGCAGACGCGCTCAGGAGCTATTGTAAGTTTTTTACTATCCTCTTTATTCAGATCTTTTTGAGAACGACCGATTTGCGATCTATTGTTTTATCGGAGTTTACCGACGAATCTCTCATTCCTTTTGTACTGCTGCTTTTTGTCGCGAAATTCTTTATTCTCCTTGTTCATCTTTTTAAAAATAATAATCGGTTTTTTTTTGCTAATTATAATATGACTCGATGATGATTATGATTACAATATGGCGATGTTGAGATATAAAAATAAATTGTGTAAATATATCATTTTCGTAAAACTGTTGCTTTTCCCTCGTGCCTTGTGATGAATTTAATTGATGATAAAATTATATAAAAATATCTTATTTTTATTGAGATATAATAACATACTAATAACATATTATATGTTATGTTGGATTATATTTCATATTTGTTGGTTCTTGTTTTCTTTTGAGTTTAAAACTTTGGCAGATATTATATTCGTTATGAATATATCTTTCGTTCATTAATATATATCTGAAGAAGAAAGATACAAATGAAAATCTTATTTTATTTGATCAAAGATAGAAGAAAATTTTAACTTTACTTGTTTGTGGATAATTGAATACTGGATATCTAGGTGCCCAAGGGGTATTCGCACCAAACACATATTGCGAATCATTTTGATCCATGATATCCTGAGTTCCAGATATGCATTCTTCATAGGATGGTGGTGCTAAACAGAGAAAAAGGTAATAGATTCTAACAATTTTTTTCATTTTCATTTATTTGTATATAAATTTTATTATTATTAATTGCTTACGTATATCCAGATTACTTGAAGAAGCAAAGGGTTGTTCTGGAGAAACGAAAGCAATAGTTCGAGTTTCCGGTGGAAGATGCGACCTATCAAATTGACCTGGTGTCGGCATTGGAAATGATGTCGTCGTGGATGCATTTATATCGTTCAGAGATGGTGCGGAAGGCGGATAATAGAGTGGTATCGTTCCGATTAAAAGAGGATAATTTTTCTTCATTTTAAAATGCCTAATTTTAAACATAAATGAAATCATTGATTATATCTGTTATTAGATATGATAGTAATGATGTTATTAGGTATTATGTAATATTTACAGTCCTGAAACGTGTACAATAACGAGTAATTCGTAATTCAAATCTATTATGCTACAATATTCCAAATAGGACGGTGGTATAGGTGGAATTAAAATCCCTGATATGGTTTGTCCACGAGCCAGGAACGATTCTGAAGTGTCCTTAGTTACGATTTCAACAGTACTAAAATTCAATCTTGTGTGCGGCGTAGATGCATAAAATTTGAGTTTCTTAAAGAAGAGAAGATGTAAATAATTTTTCAGTGAAATTATGAAATTGGTATTTCGATCGTGATCATCACTCACTTGTAACAATTTTGTACTGATCTTCGTTATTTGTATATTATTTGTGGAATTCACGTAATTCATCATTGTGATTATTGACTGGCCTGGAACGTATCCAGAAGATGGTACTCTAATTTGTAAATTAATTGATCCTTGATTGCAACAGCAAAAAAAGAAATTTTTTATTATTTCATCATCCAATCCTAGCTATTCAAAAAACAGAATAATCCATCTGAATTCGTAATATATGATACATAAGAGACAATATCAATATCAATATCTTACGCATTTTTCACGATGTGCGTTCAAGTCCAAAGTTGAAATAACTGTGAATGCTATTTTGGTTTGATGATCGAATCTCCATGGTCTATCCATTATGGCTTTTATAGTATATCTTACATGTCCATATTTATGCTCGAAACTGCTTGGTATATTATGAGGTAATTGAAAATTAAATGGATACTTGTGATATCCAAAGGGGATTTTGATCCGTAAATTAGCTGAAAAATTATAAAATATATAATTAATGTAATAATATATTTGGAGATTTATAGATTTAATTAAATCTATTAATTCAATCGATGATTGTTTAAACATTTAAGTTTTTTATTTTCAATGTTTATACTTACATTTGTGCTTAGGAATTATATTGTATTTAAAATCGAAATATTTTTCTGAATTGCTATAGATAATATTATGGGTATGCTTCTTCTTTTTTCTTGTATGATCATATTCGGTCCAGCTTACATTAGCCTGGCCGGTTGCAATAAAAATTAATCCTATAATTAAAAATTAATATTTAATATATTAATGCTACTAATAAAAGTTATGAAATTGTATAATTTCGTAATATACAAGTAAATATACATAGTAAATATATTTTTTATATTAAAGATAAGGCATATTCTAGTTTTGATAGAAAAATGATGAAAATTCAATCTCTTGTCTCGTTGTATCGCGCCAAAAAAGGATAGACAAGGAGAGTAAATAAGAAGGAAAAGGATAGAGATTGGATAAAATTATTGCAATCAGCGCCATCTCCAGAGTGCCGCAAATGAAACACATATAGGAAGGACAGAAAATAATAAGAGCAGGATAGAGATAAAGTAAGAATTGATTGTTAGCGCCATCTCTTAAGTGATAATATAAATAATATAAAATACTTTTTTCAATATACTCAAGAGATGGCGTTAATAGTTAACTCTGATCCTTTATGTTTCATTTCCGACACTCTAAAGATGGCGTTGATTGTAATTTTATCTTATCTCTATTCTTGTTTCACTATTTGCTCTCTTTAACTATATTTGCTCTGGAAAAAATTTCAAACAAAATTTTACTGACTAATATTTCATTCTCATTCTCATATTTTCATAACTTACTACTTTTTAAGATTACATGAAATACAATATATATAATTCTCTATATAAAGTGCGTGATGTTGAACCAAATTTAAACGAGTTATATATTTTAATAGGAAAAATAAATATCCTCAAAAATTTGACAATCTTGTGAAAAATATGAAACTATAGTTTTCGAATATTTTTTCAATATTGCTATTCATTCCGTTTGACAACCAAAAATCGGCAAGAAGAAATAAAAATAAGAAATGCTTGCGATTCTCATGCGATCTTAATAATATAATTTTAATAATATCTCAATATGATCTTAATCTAATCTTAACACTCTTTATTAAATTTTCATGAAATTGTCAATATATTGTCATCTATAAATACTAGCACTTACATTTGCAAAGTAGCAATATTCGAATATCTTTTTGAATATAAATTAATTTTAATTAATGCGACTTTTTTAATATCACATTATTTTTATATCAAATAATTTTCTTTACCGTTCATTTTCAATGTTTGTCAAAAATAATCGAAAAACAATCAAATTTTTGATCACTTTATCGGTCAAAAATCACCAGATTGATCAGATATTCGATCAATATATTATTTATCCAACTATTTAATGAATTATTTACTTGCTCATCCAAATATTTCGCAATCAATATTTATAGTTTCCATCAAGTATTCTAATCTGACGTTTAATTCGTAATTGAAAATGTTTAAAATTCAAAAAGACTCACCTCTAATTTCTTTCTCTCTTATTACGTCCACAATAATATTTCCACTGACAATTTCGCCACTTAGATACGTAGCCGTTGGCCTATCAAATTCTACGCGAAAAGTTTTCAACGACGGCATAATGCACCGTTCCCACTTACGTCAGAATTATTTTTACTACGTATGAATCTTTTTTATCGAGTTATATACGTCGAGTTTATTATCGTATGACGTTTGAAAAGAAAGAACAACAACAAGGGAACAAAAAAAGAAAAAAAAAGAAAAAAAAAATATATTAGAATTCAAAGAGCGATTATTCAAAGAACTCGAAGAAATTTTTCCGATGTCGCTCAATTACCGATCGAATCAACTCTTTTCATTGAATTTAATATGAAAAGTTTCAACGTGTCGTTATTCAGGCATCGAATCAATAGATAAGATCGTAAACACGATTTACTGCATGTAACGTTATCGATATTATAATCGAAGATAAAATTTGCTAAATAGAATCGAGCGCGATAATTGGATGAAATTTTATTGTTCGAGAATCATTATCATTATTATAATTGTCAGATCATTATATTAGAGACGAAGTTTGAAACGATAATTGAGCGTTCCCCTTTGGCAAGGCACGCGTTTTCACGAGCGCAATCGATAATTCGAAGGCGGGAGTTTCGATTTTCGCGTTACACGTACGAATTCATTTCATTTCTTCGCCGCTCCCTTATTCCCTTATTCGTAACGACGACCCCGTAAATAACAGAACAGTTTCACGTTTCATTCCAATACTTATCTGAAAATCTTTTTTAAATCATAAATTCCTCGGGGAATGCCCACCTTCGTACATATACTCTTGACATAATTATTCTACAACTCGATTTACACCGAAACACCGCTATATCTACACTTTCAACGCAATAAAAAAAAAAAGAAAAAAACTTGTAAAACATTGTAATCGCATCGAAAAGAGAAATCTAAACGACTATTCGTAACATCGATCGTAACGCGATCGATATCCATCCTCCTCCTCTAATAATAAACTTAGGAAACAAAAGATCCGTTCTAGATAATTTTCTCGAAAATTAAAGAAAGAAAAAGTAAAGATCGTCGTTTCAATTAAGCAATAATCTTCCTCGCTTTGACGATCCACAGCTACAGCTTTGATCTCCGACTTTGATCCGTGACCGATTCGGCGTTTACCTGTTGGACGCGTTTGACCGCGGAAGCGGAGTGGGAAAGGAGAGGGGGAGGGTGAAGGGGGGGGTGTATGAACCGCGCGCAATCACCGCGCGTTGCGGTGCGAACACGGAGCGCAATCTCGGCCAGAGTTTATGCAGCGTGTCGTTGGACACATCGATTACCCCAAAGGGAGCGTTGTGCCGCGCCAGTGACCGGCTGCGGTCTTACACACGGGAATCCAATTTCCCTTGGAGAGGGCCGAGTGCTTTGCATCCGATTATGGAATAAAATTTCCCCCTCCTCTCCAATAATATTTCGCCCAGTGTACAAATTCGAAGATCAACGTTCGTGGTAGCTTCGAATCGTACGCGATGTTGAGGTTTAACAGATTCAGAGATCGTCCGATTCGCGATAAATTAATTTCGAAGGGGATTAAAGTGATATTCGATAAGCGATAAATACACACGATCCACGGTATTCTTCGATCCGAGTAATACAAGGATACGATTGTCGAGTATGATGTAGAAAAATTCATAGATAAAATCTTCGATAATAACACAAACTGTTATTAAGTAAACATTGATCTTCATTATCGATAGATCTTGGCACTCGTGTCAATCTATCTAATTTTCACAAATCGCATCGTCCAGTAGTCGCGAATGGGATATCTACCGATCTACCGTCAATCTATATAATAATTACTCGAAAGCGGAAGGAATCGACTCGAAAGGGGTGTTTCGACGCGCGTCATTTATAGCCGTCCGTTGTTATTTTATTTTCCTGCCCTGAGATGAGAATGCGGGACGAGGTGGTGGCCCGCAGAAATCCCGCAGGAAAAGCGAAATGGATCGAATTGATAAAGAGACACGTGCGAAGAGAAAGAAAAGCCCCGGGGACCGTAGGGGTGGGAGGTCGAGCAGGGTGAAATCGCGGTGGCGGGGGGTGAGACGCTCTCTAGGTCTGTACGCTCCAACCCCTCAGTAACGCGGCAACCTCTGTCGAGTTCGGTTCCGCGTGTCCTCCCTCGTCCACATTCGTGCCCCTCGTCGTCGCCTTGCCTCGTGTCGCGGGGCCCCCGTCGAGATCCGATTTCGTTGATCGTGAAATCGTCCGCATCGAACGAAGAAGGAAGGGTGGAGAAACGGTGGCCACGGTGAGAGGAGAGAGCGGCGTGACGATACCTTGCTCGCGATCAACAGGTTAATTCTTCCCAGCCGAAAATCGAAACTATTGGTGAGTTTCTCTCGGCTGTGTTTGGGTAATGTAATGTAGAGCAATCGTATCAACGTACGAGATTATTCGTGAGGGTAGAGGTAGGTGTTTGAAAAATTGTTGGATCGTTTATCGACACGTGTACGATGCGAGATGTAAGAATTTTGGATTGTGGTTAATTAAAGGCTAATTAGATATAGTAATTTTGTTTCGGGTTTTACTTTATATATATATATGTATCTTCGAGAGATGGTTTCGTGATGCATGTCGGAAGTATGGTATACCGGTTGCCAATTAATATCGATTTTGGTTGCCTCGAAAATTAATTCGCGAGAATGAAGGCGAAAACTCGAACTCGTAACTCGTTGCATCCCAAGTTATTTATATTTTATCATTATAATTTCGCGTTCGCGCAGCCGAAACTGTTGCATCCGTTGGAGGAAATAATATATAATTTTCTCAAAGTCTTCCTCTCCCAAAAGAGATAAAGAAATGGAAAAATTGTTTCACGGTAGATGGAGGAAAATGAAATTCCTTGGAGAGATTGATTTTTTTTTTCTCCCTTTTTCTTTTCACCGACACTCGTTTCGCCCGATCAGACGAATCGCGTTACTACTATTAGTGGATTAATTTCCACGAAAAGGAAAAATATTCGCGATATTTTGTCTGATAATAGGAAACGTTATCCGTGACAGTATTCACAGTTTGGAATTCTCGTTTATTTTTTTTTCTTTCTTTTTTCGTCGCATAATAACAAGTACAACGATTCCTTCCGAATACACTTCCAATACGTTTCTTCTACAACGATTCATCGTTTTCAGGCGGCCCTGTGCGTAAGGGTGATTCATCTTTAATCCTGGCCATCCATGGATAAAATTCCCAAGGATCCCCTCGTCCAGGCCTTTCTTCCATCGACTGGTCGCGTCATTCCCTAATAGCAGTGCGTGAAAACCGTGAGAAGACCCGTGGAGGGAGGAGGAGGGATAGGTTGGAGATGAGAATTCGATCCGCTCCGGAAGATTGGCGCGTTGCTCGGAGGAAACTCGTGGCAATCCGGCACAACAAAGAGTCAACCGACGTTTCATCGTGCTCGCACAACGAGGCTGGCGGAGGTTTCTCTAGCATTCTCTTGCTAGATTAAAAGAAAAGAAACAAAAAAAGGAAAAAAAAAAATAAAAAAAGAAAAAGAAGGAAAGAAAGAAAGTAATCGAGAAGAAAAGGAAGAAGAATATCCGTTATCCCCCAACGTGGTAAGAGATGGCTACGAACAGCCCGGGACAGTCGACACATGCGAAATCGCCTCGTAGTCCTCGCCAGCTACCGCAATTGCCGCAAATCCCGATCGGCGGGCAGAGAAGCCCCACGCAATTGCCCCAGGTGAGCAAGTCGCCTGGCACGCCGCTGGTGTTCGAGTTCCCCCCCGAGTATTATCCGGAAACGCCCAACACGAATTTCGACTTCGAGGAGTTCGGACGGTTGAACGAGGCCGAGGCAAGGCCGGGGCAGAGGAGCCCGAGCTACTACCCGCGTCAAGGGTGCAGGAGTCCCAAGAGTCCTAGCGCGCACTCGCCCGGCAGAAAGTCGCCGATATTTCAATTCGTCGAGACCCGTAAGAATCTCGGCAAGACGATGAGCTATCCACCGAGAAGCCCCGCCTGTGGTTCACCCGCGGTCCCGACAAGATCGCCCAGCTCCGCGGGTTTCGCCACCTCGAAGAAGCCTTTCGAGGGCCATCGTAGGAACACTTGTTTCGGGTTAAACGGATCGAAGTGGGATCCTGTGTCGGCGACGATGGCCGCGTCTATGGGCCACGGATCGTCCAGCCCGAAGCACGAAAAAACGGAGCAACGGGAGGGGAGCAACGCGAGTTACAAGAACGGGGGCGGATCGAGGCCATGTTCGGTGGAGGGGGGAGGGGGAGGGGGAGCGTCGAGGGAGAGAGGCGACAGTCCGAGCGGGAGGAGGGGCGGTGGGAAGAGGAGCAGTCATTTTAATCGCAGTCAAGGGTATTTGAACGAGGCTGAGAACAGTCGGAGCGAGAGCCAAGAGGACGTTTACGGGAAGAATGGAAGAAATATCTCGAGGAGGTCGACCAGCGACTTGACCGATATGGGGGACGCCGACACGGAAGTCACTCTGTTGTCCAGCCCTAGAAGGAGAGGATCCATGAAGGGTGGCCTCGGTGAGTGGTTCTTTGGATTTTTCTTTGATCTTTCTTTTCTTTTCTTTTCTTTTTTTTCCCTCCCTTTTTTTTCTTTTTAATTTTTGTTCAACTTTCGTGGGTTCTTTTTTTGTTTTGATGGAAAAAAAAAAAGGAACTTAATTCACAATATATATTTATATATTGTATACGTAAAATTGGAAATTTATCTTTGATAACTAGCGAAACAAGTTAATAAAGATTGGGCCGGGGTATTAGTTAATTTGGAAAAAGTGGCGCGGAGAGATAATTAACAATATGTTCGGTCAAACTAGGTCGATCCGAAGTCCTTGACTCCCCTCCCTCTCCGTCAAAGGAATCCCCTCATTTTAAAAGCATTTGCAAAATGTAACGAGCGCGAAAAAGATTCAATTAACGGGGGCTATTGCCGCGCAAAGGAGAGAGAGTTAATTATCGATTCGTTATCGCGTGGGCGAGTTACGACCGATGAAATCGCAAATTATATTATCCGATTAATGAGATGTATCGTTTCCCGAACGTCTCTAATTATTCGAACAGCGGATCATCCGCGCGGGACAATATTCCCGTGCGTGCCGATTAACGAGGGAAGAGGGATCCGTCGATCGGCTTAAAATTATTATAACCGATTGCACAATCGATTTTGCGATATTTATCCTTCTCCTCCTCCTCCTCTTCTTCTCTTCTTCTTCTTTTTTTTTTTTTTTTTTTTTTTAGAACGATGCTCCTAATAGATGACAGGATTATCGGTTTTAATTAATCCTCCATCCGTCTCGAACAGATTTCCCTCGAGTTGGCGAGTAACGCGTACAACGAGCCGCGTGCTTTTCCTTTTTCGAATTTTCCCTCGCGATCGAACTCTCGAATTGTCCCGTAATAATAAAGCGGAAAAGGAAGAATGGGGAATACAGGTTAGGCGACGCGATATCGTTATAGAAAAAAAAAGAAAAAGAAGAAAAAAAACAAGAGGAAACACGAGGTAAATCGAAACGAGAGTAGAGATTGTTCATCAAATCTTGGAAACGTGACGCACATTTTCGTCGAAATTATTTTGTCCGCTTCTCCGGGCGAGAACGCAATTTGCTTGCTTAGCTTTTCCGCTTCAAATATCCCATTGTTTCCTAAATCAGAGAATTTTGTTCCTTATAAATTGCAATTCGAGCGTGGAAACCGCGCACGGATCATAATTATAACGGTTTGAATCGGCGTCTTTGCAGCCCGCGATATTCCCTCGAAATTATTACCGACCGAAAAGTTTCGGTTACCATCCGAACAACTCGGCCTACACAGTTTTTTCATAATCTATTATTGCGCAGTCTCGCTTAATCCGGTTACGCGATAGACAAGAAGGGAGGTCGAGAGAGGGTCAAAAATCGGCTCGACGTAATCATTTTTCCAGGATCGTCTTACTCTCCCAATTGAATTCTCGTTTAAAGGTTTTTTGGGATAGAAAAAGCGAGCTTCGCCCCCTTTTCCACTCTTTTTCCACTCTGCCTTCCATTTTTCCCTCGTCCTCCCTCCCTTCTACCCTTCTCCTCTTTTTCATCGGGAACGAAAGGCCGCCTCGTCGTATTTCGACCGGCTAATCCCGTAATCTCGTTCGATCTTTAATCCTGGCGGGGATATATCGTTCGCGCGATCGAATCACGAAGCACGAAGGCCGATTGGGAACGAACACGATCGCAGTGAATCGGCGTTTCTCATCGGTAATGCTCGTTCCACGATGATTAGCAATGTGACCCTGTCGTGGGTCACACCGAATCCCTCGATCGTCCGCGACAAATCCCTTCGAAGCTTGCCACGTGCCCCGAATTTCGATTCCACCGTTTCATCAAATTCTCCTCTCTCTCTCTCTCTCTTTCTCTCTCTGTGTTGCAGCCTATCTCGCGTCCAGACGCGGCTCCCGCGATAGCCAGTGCTCCAATTTGTCGAACGTCAGCAACGAGAGCGTGGGCCCGTTGAATTTCACAGCGCACCCCCGTGCCAGGCAACGGAGAACTTCTAATTTCTTGGAATTACCCGGTAAGCGAGCATTTTAAATCTTTTTCTTTTTTTTTTTTTTTTTCTTTTTAATCAGCAAAATTTCACTCCTTCAGCGGAAACAGGATCAAATTATCAATATAGGTATCGTTTTAATCAGGTATTGCGAAAAATTTTACTCAGAGTGGGAAATGAGTTTCCAGGAAGAGCGTGCGCGTGGGATTCTTCTTTCGTAAAATTTTTCTCGTAACACAGCCGCGTGACGATCGAACGATTCAACAGAAACAGGGTCAAGTTATCAACGCGGGTATTGTTGTCGGTATTTTTTTAATCAGGTATTACGAAAAATTTTACTCAGAGTGGATGAGTTTCCAGGAAGAGCGTGCNCGTAAAATTTTTCTCGTAACACAGCCGCGTGACGATCGAACGATTCAACAGAAACAGGGTCAAGTTATCAACACGGGTATTGTTACCGGTATTTTTTAATCGCGCCTTGCTGTTTACATTGAATCGTATCGGAAGCGTCGGCGACGCGGTACCCGAGGCTCGCCCTCGTTTAAACTTTCAATGCACAATTCGAAACGAGGTCTCTCCTCCGCCAAACCGAAATAAATGTGCACGCGTACTCAACTTGATGCATTCGAACGATCCTCCCCCTCCCTCCCATCTTGACAGAAGAGATCACCTCGCTCTCTGTAAAAAAAAACGCGGCTTTTTCTCTTCTTATCTCGATGTTTAAGTATCGTTCATTCGTCAAAACGTTTAACAGGGAGGAAAAAAAAAAAAAAGGAAAGAAAGAAAAATGGAAAAAAGTATCCATCCCCATAGATTTGTTTCCACTTTTCGTCGATACGATCGCGTTGTCTCGCGTGCTCAACGTCCATTTTACGTTGAAAACGTTTTTTTTTTTTTTTTTTTTCGATCCGCGCGACTTTCCAAGAGAACAACTTTCCACGAGGAATCATCGAGGAAATGTAATGTCGCGAAAAAAAGGAACGCGAAAACAAATTTTCCGTCCTCCGTCGCAATGTTTCGCAATGCGCCTGTCGATGCTCATCCTGGAATGAATTTCCTGACGATGCACGTCGATATAACGTATCAAATCATGGCGGATTACCCTCGAGTATCGAGGACTAGGTTGCAAAATTAATTACGTGGCTCGGCATCCGCTGGGCAAATACTTTCCGTAAACAAGCTATCGCGATAGGCTTTCCCTTTTTTCCCCCCCGTAGATGATCCGCGGGGGCCGAGCATGCGGTATTAAAACCAGAGATATTAGAAAGCGTTGCTAATTGGCCGTGATTCGTGGAGGGAAAAAAAGGGGTGGAAAAAACGGACGGATCGATGCGATAACGAATTTTTTTTCGAACCTGGATTCTCATTAATATAAACGAGAGAGAGATACGGGAAATCGATGCGACGCGGAAATTATCGGTTTATTGTTAACGTTAATAGTGGATAACATCCATTCTCCATTCGGTTTCGAAATATTTTCTATATTGTCGATGACAATGGATATGTTTTTCCTTTGTTTTTCTTTTCCAATTTTCAGGCAAATACATGTATGTAATAAGTATTCCCCGTAAGACTTTAAAACGCGTATGTTGTTATTTTTTTTTTTTTCTTTTTCTCCCTCTTTCAAATAATAGCGCGAGATTGGATTCGCCATAAAAGAGCAATAATGCAGTGAGGGAGCAGGCTTTCAAATTCCACGAGGTTCTCTCATTTTTCCTCGCCTCCTACAATAGGATTATAACGTAGTATATAATAAGGACAATCTTGAGATATAACAGGCGAGTTTTCCTCTCTCCGAAGGAAATGTTGTATTATTTAACGCGGTGAATATAGAAGGAAAATATAGGAGATAATATTCGTGAAAGGGAGGAAGAATCCTTAGATCGGGAACAAAACGTTTCAGTTTCGTTTTCAAAAAGGAAGAATGACCGAGAAAGTGCGCACAAGATGCAACGGTCAGATACGATACGTTTGCACGAGTCGTTCTTTGATAGGTTTTGTCGAATACTTTTATCGTTTTTTTTTTTCTTTCTCGCGGCACGTGCAATATCGTTTGCAAAAAAAAAAAAAAAAATATCACCGTATTTTCATTCGCTTGGTAAATATTTCAAGAGTACGAATATTCTTATTTCATCGCTTCTCAGATATATACGTGTTGAATTCCATAAAAATAAATTATATTGCAATTTTTTTTTCAGTGCATATTCGTCAAAACGAACACAAAAGTTGATATATCAGTTGAGAGTGCAGGAAGAATAAATTTTCAATTGTTTTAATAATTCAATAATTCAATAATTCTTATGTTTTGGAATCTGAAGAATCCGGTCTTCCAAACGTATTCTATAACAAATATATATATATATATGTTAAGAATAAAAGACATTGATCTATAAAGTAAGATAGTTTCAATTTCACTTTTTCAATAGCTTCATCATTTTCAATAGTTTAACTTTCCAATTTCTTAGCAGTAATTTACGAATAAGTTTCATATTGTTCCAAACTCTTAATAGCAAGTATTCCAGAAACTATTGAGACGCAATGGTAATGGCAACCACTTCATAAATCATATTTGCGCGCGTCAAGTGTCTTGCGGTCGACCATCGGAAAAGCAGTTACAAGAATCCTGGCCCCCAAACACGATATACGCGATAACTCATGGTTTCTTGAAAACCATCCTCCATTCGTTCTCTCTAAATTCCTCTTAATTACATTTACGTCGAGAATAATTATTGGAAGGAAAATTCCAGAAAGCAGAAGTCAATTAGAATCTAACCAGTCCTTTGGAGAATCTGATCAACCGTGAATCAAGAATTCAATCACGTCTCAATTAGAAAGCGAAGATCATGACTGAAGATTCACAATATAAACAGGAATGGATGAACTCTTTCGAGAAATAGTTATTCGTTTCAGGCATCTCTTTTCGTTTACAATGTTCAAAGTCAACTTCAACACACATATACCTTGCATCTCGTTGGAAGAGTAAAGAAAGTGGAATAAGATGGGTCAGGTCAGACACGTTGCATCCAACGTCTCAAAATCCCTCCTTTCATTTATCATTCTCATATCCATTTAATTATTCACCATCGCTGTTTCTTCGAGAGCGACCCAACCACCGAGTGTTTTTCGTTAAAATTAAATTGCGTGCGGATAATTAAATTGTGCGCGAACTACGATTTATCCATCTTCCTCCATCTTCCCTTCTCATCTTATTTATCTCGACATTTCGACATCTCGATTTGCCAAAGTTTTGCTCGAGATCCTCGGCGAAAGAAAAATCGGACTCAACTCGCGCCTAATTAATCGAAGGACGTTTCTGTTCCGTCCAAGTCCGGTCCCTGGCATTGAAATTTCCCACGGAATCGACGAAAATTCGCCGTTAATTTCGTCGAGGCGAAGTTACACCCGCCCTCGTTTTCGTAATTAGCTACTCGGTCCGGGAGACGAACTTCTTGAGTGCCTCGTCGAGTTGTAACCGCATTAAATGATGGAGCCAACCTTTGTCGATGCGCCACGCTACGCGGACCCTTGCTCCATTTCGATCTCTCAAACTTCTGCGTCCCTCTGTGTTAACGAACGAAGTGTCGCTCGTCGAACGCAAGAAAATTGGAATATTGGAGAAAATTGGATTGGAGAGAAATCGTCCATCTTTGCATTTTTCTTTGCCGCCATACTTCGTTTCGAACGACTTGGACGAATTTCGAATCCTGAATATAATCAATACGAAGGGGACAATTTAATTTGGGAATCGTTCTACGCTTCCTTGAATTCTGTGAAAAAGAAAGATAGAGTTGGAGAATTGAAGGATGAAAGGATGAAGTGAAATTAAAGTAAATACGATTTCGAAGCGAAGCGTATTTATGGAAATAATTATTGTAAAAACCTATGTACGTACGTCGTAATTTATTCCATGGAGATTTGAGAGATTTAATGCATGCATAAGACGGCTGTGGTCAAGTTATAAAGGCGGAGATCCGATGATGCTTCGACGCTGTCGCGTTTCGGAGAGACCCTTTGAATGCAGGATCACGGGTATCCCTAAAACGTCAAGTCCCTATATCGTTTCATATTTCTATAGATTGATATTCAAATATACATGAAACGTGAAATAGATTGCGAAGAGATAGATAGCCGGTTCGCTCGACAAAATATTGTGCCCGCGCGTACAATAATATTATTGGCCCTGAAGATGATACGTGGATAGGAAAAAATCTGTAAAAAGTTTAATAAAATTGTACACTATTATAAAAGTTAGTTTTGAAACTGAAGGGAACGTTCGGTTGTTTCATTTGTTGAAACCAAACAAAATTTCGTGAAATTTACGCAGAGAGATAAATCGAATTTTTACGCGAAATTCGAGATTGAGATGAAAAATGGAGTATCATTTTTTTTCCCCCGCCCCTCTTATACACACGCTGCTATACGCGCTTGCTTTGTGTTTCGAGTGTTATATAAAAAAAAAAAAAAGAAAAAAAAAAAAGAAAAAAAGGAAAAAAAAAAGAAAGAAAGAAGCACGTATGGAAATTGACAGGCAGACATAAAAGACGTTGGCTAGTTAGTTGTTGGGACAGGAAATTGGGAAGCCCTCGAAGGCAGAAGCATGGCTGGTGTTCCACGTGTCGCGTCGCTTTGATCACGAGGATCGTTTCGCAATTGGAAAATTTCCAAACCTAAAGAGAGAAAAGGGGGATAAAAAAAAGGAGAATCGAATGATGGATAGTTTAACGCGAATCGAAAACGATCGGTTTTGCTTGACAGGCAAATAATTAAAAATTCAAGATGCGCAAATTTTTGTCTTTCTATTCTATTTATTCATTCCTTCCCTCCCTCCTTCTCTTCTTAACTGATCGAATATTCCTGCACGATATATTTGTCCTATATAAATCGTCGAAGAGAGAATCGTTATTTCGACGTTAGTCGATTAAAAGATAAATTCAAAGATAAATTAAAATGTAGATCGACGAAGATACCTATCCAATTAATGGAATGTTCGCGCGTTTATACCTGTTTATATCTGTTGCCCTATTTGAACTAATAGGTTGGTTTTAATTAACCGTCCATCGATACGTTTCAGTGCCGGATCACATCAGGCCACGAGTGCACAGCCTGCCGGAGAAAGCGTACAATCCGAGAGCGGGGGAGGATCTGTACAGATTGCGGGCATTCAGCATCACCCATAAAGGCGTCGTTAATCGTGGAGATTCGATTATCTCGAGGCGCAGCAGGAGCAATACTTCGGTCAACAGTAGCAGGTAATTAATCCCTGTAAAAAAAAAAAAAAAAGAAGATTGCCTTTTTAATCAAATGCACGTATTTATAAATAAGAACGAGGACGAGATTGAAAAACATTTTAAACATTTAAATCTCTTCGAAGCGGAAGATTTTTGGTAATTGAAAAAAGAAAGAAATTTCGAACGATAATGATTCGGATTGTGAGAAGAAATTATCGGATTATACAATGATGATGGCTCGCATAGAACGTTCGCGCGATTCACAATTTTGGGAATTTGGGATAATCGAAACGCGTTCCTCGAACACCAGCACGATTATGCTTCCTACCCTTCGATCCAGAACAATGACAAGCGAAATGCACGTTTCATCGATCACCATCCCCTATGTTTAGAGGATGACTTATCGGCCCGACATTTAATTTCAATTTTCAATCCTCTTTTTAATCGTATTTCTATTCTCACCCTTTTTTTGAATTAATCCATATTGTTTGAATTAAAAATATTCTTCTCTATAACACCAATTTTTTAAATATCGACGAGAGATTGGTGAATTGCCCACGAAAATCAATTACAACAATATTCCTTTACTATCCATTTTTTTATAAAGAAAACAACAACCAAACCTTTTGTTACATACATTGTTGCCTCAATATCTTTATTTATGCCTCGATTTTCCAAGTTATTTTTATACCCGTTCACCACTTCAAAATTCGTACCTAGCAGAAATTAAAAGATTTAATGAAAATTATACGTAATAATACTCTTTATCGACATTTTAAGTTTTAACTTATTTTCATAACTCATTACCCAGTATCCTCGATAAAGCGAAAAGTGTCACGAATAACTTGTTCCGTTATATACATCCTCACGTTGGACAGAACGAGCAGTTTCACTCGAAGACACAGGATCGATCGATGTTTTCTTTTTTTATTTCATTTTTTTTCGAAAAATTTTCCATCCACGATGGAGCACAAAGGGTAGAACGTTTCCGGCGAAACGCGACGCGACACGACACGTTTTCTCGTTCGCTCGATTCCCTTCGAGTTTCCGTTACGAGAGTCCATAAGTCTTCCCTTCCCTGACAGAGAAGTATCGCTCGTGGCCATGGGAATGGTGTTTTCGCCCCCTCGGTGAAACCGATTCTCGGGATAAAAATTTATGACAATCAGGGCTGCCGTGGTGAAAATTTAATTCGGCCACGATAAACGAACGAAGGAAGGGGTTGTTTATTTCGGAGTCGCATTTCTTCGATGACCAGCCACGATAAGATTATCGGGTTTTGCCTCGCGATAAAAACGAATCGATCGTGCTTTTGAACGTCTATTTTTCTTCTCCCCTCCTCCCTTTCTTTTTTTTTTTTTCCTTCTTTTTTCCCTTATTCCTCTTCCAAGTTTTCAAGCACGGGTACAATGCTATTTTGATTATCCAAACTAGCGGGTGAAATTGTGTTTATACGTTCGTATGAATAATTTAACGGGTTATCGTATTTTTCCGAGATGAGGGAAAAGTAAGTCGTCCCTGTAAAGAGATAAATTTCAAGGAAGAACTTAGAATGTGACGTAGTTAGAGAAATATATATTTAGAACATTTATTTTCCAATATTGTTCGAAAAATGAAAATCCAATTTTATTCGCGTAGGAGGTGGGAAAACAAAGGAGGAAGTTTAGTATAGAAGAAGGTAGAACAAAAAGACGATGTGGAATGAAGTTCAGTTGATAGATATCCGGCGAAAGATTATAAGCCTATATAAATAAAGATTACGGTTGGAAGAAATTATCTACGCGTTCCGTATATATAATAACTTCGTTCGCCTGATTTGTCTTCTTAAAAAAAAGAAAAAGAAAAAATAGAAAAAAATTACTTTTTACGAAAGCTCGTTCGACGTCGATGGAAATTTGTGCACGTAGACACGTTGATATTTTTTTTTACGAATGAAAACGCGGATGAAAATCTCTGATTTTACATTACCGACCGAGATTAAAAAGTTTCGAGTCATTAACGTATATTCCGTAAAAGCGAAGAGTTGAAAAGAGTCGGGGTAGAAAAATCGCTAGACGTAGACTACGTACACTAGAAAAGTTTTCCAAATTTTTGTCCGCTACATTTACACAATTCATTAGAATAAAACTAATTTTAAGATCTCTAAATTTCTATCTTTCGATTGCCAACTATCGATTGCCAACTTTCTATTTTCATTCGATAACTTTTCACGATTCACACCGTGAAAATTCATTATCTTAAAATTTGGAAGGTGATAATCGTAACATTTTTTTCCACGGTGCGAGCATTCCACCGTTCAGCCTCGTTTCGAAACTGTCGTAAAACCCGAAGGGAACCTCCCTCGAAACTTGGCAACCTGTAAAACTTTCACTCGCGCGTTCCCCGCGAACGTGTCCCCTGGGAGCAGCACTTAATTTCGGCACCGGAATGGATTCAATGAATTCCGCCTACTCGGTTAACTCGACGCTTTATAACGTACGTTTTATCAAATTGCTTTCGAAAGATTCCATTCCGGATCGACTCGATAAGAAAAATTAATTTCGCTACACAATTTCGTTTTCACTTTAATCCCTCGCCCCGGATCGTGAATCAATGCCAGTCAACGTTTCGTTTAGCGTAGGTTTCTCTCTCTCGTTCAACAAGTTCATTTCTCTCTCTTTCAGATTTTTCTCCTAGATCTTACCTTCATCTTCTTACCTTCCGTCTCGTTTCTTTAAAGAGAGAGATTCCTTCACCCTCTTTCCTTTCTCACCTCTGAAAAAAATCACCATTTATAAATCTCCATATCTGTCCTCTCCCCCTCCACTTCTCGCTTAATAAACCCTCCTCTGTTCCTCTCGATCTTCCATACAATTTATTCGCTCCTATAGGTGAGCGGCAATCTATTCCTTTGCTCGCGAGACTGGATCAACAACAACTTTATTTCTTCGCGAGGAGACGTGAAAAATCTTGCTGTTCATCTCTCAGCAATATGCAAATACGTTCCAACGAAAGTATCTTCTATCGGTTAAAAGAATTTGGCGAATTCACTATTTCGTGGTTGAAGCGTTCTATTTTCGATTCGATCAAATTTTTGATTGTTTCTCGCGACGAAGAGACCGATGGATCGTAAATGGATCGTAAAGGAAAATCGTTTGTCCCTTTTCACGGTTTTCATTTCACATAGTTTAATTGGATCTCGAATCGGGAACCGCAGCTTGAATTATCGGTCGTCCCTGACTTTCGTTACGACTAGGAACGATGACATTTTTTTTCCTGATCGAAGCGTGGCAAGGCAAAGGTTAAGAGTGACGCGAGTATCATTTGACGAAATCATTGTAGTATGATTCAACGATCGATCGTCAAGTTTAAACTTGAAAGAAGAAGAAGAAGAAGAAAGAAGAATTTGAGAAAAAGAACGAAATCGTTAAACGAATTTTCAACAATATTTCCTCCTTTTGTCTTTTGCTCTTTAAATCATTCGAGTAACGAGCCGCAATCACGTTGCTATTCTGCGGCTCGACAATGGGGAAGGATAAGAGAGATTGAACGAACCCAGAGAACAATATCTTAGAAATTTTATTATACAAAGATAACCGAAAGTTCACAATGAAGTGTGGGATCGCGAGACGTGACAATGATGTAGAGGCTTAAACAGGCATTTAAAAGAGGATCAGGGGGATGGAGGACCTTCATGGAGGATCCTTGAGGAAGGGAGAAAAGGATGGGGCGAGTCGTTATTTGGCGATGAACCACGCCGATTGGAGGAGAGCCAGAGCTCGCGTTCCTTCCTTTTCCTCTTCTTCTTCTTCTTCTTCTTCTTCTTTTTTTTTCTTTCTTTTTTTTTTTTTTCATTATCGTAGCAACTCAAGAAGGGAAGGGTTATTTCTGAAACCCGTCGTCCCATCCACACTTTGACCCCGTCGATCGGTCATTCCGTGACTCGACTCGACGTATCTTTCCTCCATTATTCTCCAAAAATATTCCTCGAACGTTCACCTTTCCGTGACGCAACTTCTTCCTTCCCAACTCCTCCATGCGAATCAACATGCGGAACGCGCGAGCAGAGTTTCCACCCGCTTTCTAACCGCATTTCCCTTTGAATCAGAAGCAGGAACTGACAGGAACCAAACCACACGTTTCCACACTCTCGGCTATTCCAGTCTCGAATCCTCGAAAACTCGAAGCGTTCGAGCGGCAGATTTTCAGATCAGCAAGGCGCTCGAGTCGACTCTATCGCGTCTCGACTCTCCCCTGTGCGATTTCGATGCCAAAAAAAAAAAAAAAAAAAAAAAGAAAAGGATCGTATTTTGTGGACTTGGATTCGGCGTGGATTTCGTGGTGGATCGATTAGTCGTTGTACTCGATCGTCTCCTCGTACTCCATCGATTGATGCGACCTGGTCGAGGACGAAGTCACGGATTTGATCGACGTCGACGACTCGACTACGGATTTCGTTTGCACGCTCTCCACGGATTTCATCGTCGCCACGGATTTTGATTCCGCTGTGATGTTCATCGACTGCTCCACGAGACTGCCCGCGTTCTCGTTCACTATATGGATGCAAGCAACGTTTCTTGTTAATAATTAGGAAATCAAGCTCGTAGAGGACGAGAAATTTGAACCAGATTCCATATCTAACTCTTAATTTTTCCCTTTTATTTTCGTTCGAAAGTACATGAATCTCTGTTGAAAATTTAAAAAACAAGAAAAAGATGCAAGCTTTCTCGAATCTCGCGAGACTACAGCTAAATAAAGAAATAAACCAAAGTATGAAATATTCTTCCCGTGATTAATAATTAAAAGAAAAATTCCGAGAAAACAAAATTCCATGGAAGTGGAAGTAGAAGAAGAAGAAGAAGAAGAAGAATGACATTTCTCGAAAGCGAAAGGGATCTCCCTTTAGATTTAAAATCGCATAAAGTTCGAGAGGATGATTTATCGAGGGAATCGAGTTAGAATGGGATTTCTATCGAATCGTGTACAGCACCACGCACCTTTGGCGATCTCCATCGTCGAAATAAAAGGAAAACTCTTGTCCTCTTGACTGTTCTCGCTCTCGAAGAAACGGACGACTCGAGATCGAACTCGCGAATGGACCGAACGACTCGCGGAGCTTTGGGTTATTCTAAACCCGGCCGATCGGATGGAGAGGGAAGGGCCGCGATCACGTGGCGGTGAGGATGCACGAGTGACAGAGGGGAGAGGACGAGGGCGTGAAAACGTTTGGCGTGTTTCACGGCATTTACGAGGCGGCGGTGAGGAATATTCGTGGAATTTGCGAATGGCTCGCCGCGTATGCGTCCCGAGTCTGTCTCTGAGTCAATGTTCTTCCGTGACGCGTGTCTAGCTTATCGTTAGTCATCGCCGTTGATTTTCGAACGCCATACGGACAACCTCCTGCAACTGATTTAGAACGAACGTGTTCGCCTTCCGACGATTTAATTTTCTTTTGTCGAGTTCCGGAGTAGATCCAGTCGAAAGATTATTAAGAGACCTTTTAGAGACGATATATATCTCGATATAACGCTTTGTCTTCTAAGGAAACTTTTGTTGGACGCGATCGAATCGAATCGTGGAACGGTTACAACGAATGGTTCATGGTAATTTTTTTTTTAAATCGAATTTCTATTTCCTGGACGCTTGAGCTGTCGAGATAAATTCCAACTGGGCATCGATTCAAAAATTGGAAAAAAAAAAAGAGTTTTCATTTTCATTGAATTTCGGTTGAGTCATGCTCTTTACGAGCAGAAAATGTTCACAAATCTCTCGGATTGCTTGAATCACGCTGACAACAGAGAAACAGTTGTTTACATCGAGGGATCTTGAATATTCGCCAAATTTTCGTGAAACCTGGTAGAATTTTCTTTGTCCGATCGTCTTTTTCGAATCAATTCGTTTCGAGAGACGAACATCCGGTTAAATTTAAAAGGCTGACTTTTCCAGAGTTGCTTCGATGAGTAAGAATCGATCGCGAGCATCACCGTTTCCTGGTTACGCGAGTAGATATAGCAATCGATGATTCACGAACGTTGGAACGATTCGAGACGATTTCGAGTCGAATTTTAATCCGTGGACACGGTCCAAAAACCAGTCGTCCACCCAGAAAGTGAATTAGACCTGGTGATAATTGTCATCCAACGTCGAATTTATCTCGATTAATCGTTCGAAAATTTTGACACGGAATTGTTCATTATCGTACACACGAGTGCGAGGCGTCGCCCATATTGGCAAACCGATCCGCTGCTAGAATAGTACTTTTATTTATATTTGTTGTAACAAAATGTGAGTAAGGTTGCGCTATTTCTACGCAATTTAACGAGCTCGTTCAAGGTGACTTTCGTTTTGCAAAATTTCGATCGGAGATGGAATAAAATGTTCGTGATAAATGGCTTCCTGTCGTCATCAGAAATATAGAATTTCTAGCGGCGAAACGTCTATATTTGTAACAATTTTCAGAAGAATTAAAGATGTTTCTCACAATTATTATTCCCACTTGACATCAATACTAAGCGAGAAAAACTATATATCTCTCTATAAATCTATGTTTCGATCATATTACTCCTCGATCCTTCCTCTTAAATTTTTGTAACGATATGCACCGTTTTATATATATATATTGGCGTTATGGCGAGCTTCCTTTAGATTTGACGGGTTGGTCTCTCGAAACTTCGTAATAGCCGAAAATAGTGACGGGTTAGTTTGTGGGCCGCATTAGTTAGAGCACCGAGAGCGATCCCACAGGGAACGAGCCCGGGAAAATAAGTTTCACGCAGGGAGGTCGGTTCCATGGGAGATCGGGCGAAAAGTTTCCGTGGTAAGTCCTCCCCTACCTCATCAACCTTTTACGCTAACACAGCTAACTCTTAGAATTTATGTTTCCTTCTGTGGCAATGCGTTATCAGTTTGAGATCCAATTCCGTTAAGAAATTCGAAATATCATCGACGATAAAATGAAGTCGAAGGGAAGATCCAATACGAAGAACAAAGATGATATTTCCATGAATTTGAATGAATCGATCTAGAAAATCGATCCATCAAAATTTGCCAAGAAAGAAATTGAAAGAAGAAATTCGTTTATAACGTGAACGATAATCGATGAAAGAAATTGAACCTGACTTTCCAAGCTATTTAAACTCCATTCTTTTAAATTCGTCTAAATATTCTCCGTTAACGCAACATTCATGAATTGACACGAATGTTTAATCCCATCCTCGTTTTAATGCATACAAATTCACAAATTTTCCTCGAGGAGAGAGCAACAATTTCACGACTGTGAAAAGTGTGATTGTTCCTCGAAAGAGGAGATAGAAATAACCTCTCCTCTTTCGTCTGTCGAATCGAAACTTGACTTGTTATTACGTCCATACGGATAACAGATGTTCGATCGAATTTTTCTTTTTTCTCGCTTTCGTTCTCGATCGTTACGCGAATTATTACGTCGAGTCGGATACGAAGAGATCGGATCCGATACGTCACTCTTCGCTCTCTTCGAATAGACGATGTCCAAATATTTGCACCGGATTTTTCGTTTTCTCGCCTCTCCCTTTCTCGCCCCCCCTCCTCCCCTCCGTTTATATATAACCTCTTCAGCGCCATCTTGGTGTAAGTAAGCGCTCGCACACGTGTCACGACATGTGAACGAGGAATGCGCGATCTCTGCATTGTTCTTGGCCGAGAACGAAACGCGTATCTCGACGAGTTTTCACACAGGATCGCGCGGAAAAGAATAGCAATCGGAATAATAATTCGTCCAAAGGGAATAATTGGAATCGAGTTCGAACTAAAAACCAACCATTTCGTATATTGGAAGTCATCGTGTTCCAATCAATTTAATTTGGATTGTAACTGTTCGAAAGATTATTAGATACAAGATGTTTCGAATTATCTCGAGTTTGAAGTACGTATCGCGTGCTTTCAGAGATGTGACGAGGATCGGACGAAGGCGGTTTCATCGAAGAGGAAAGATGGTATCGATGGATACGGATATATAATACCGGATATTAACTATCGATAGTATAAATAAGCGATTTATCGACGCCGACTTTATTGGAATTCTAAATATTGCCACGGACAAAAGCGGATGCTTTTCTATTGACACGCTAGGAATCGCTCGCGCGGAACATGTTTCATTTGTCGCCCGCTTTTCAATTAATGCGTTCACGCTGCTTTTAAATTCGCCCTCGCTACTAATAAATTACATTTCCATTTTACTGTCCCGATCATTCGTGTTATTCGCTCACCCTCCTCCCCCTCCTTCTCCCCCTGCTTCCCTGCTTCCCCTCCCCCTCCACCTCTATCGCGGTGTATCACGGAGGAGTCCACGGATCGATTCGAATTTTTGCTCCCTCCCGAATAAATAAAATTCCTGCCAATTCCTTCCCACCCTTCGCGTAAAAATCGAATCACGCTTACGAAATTCGGATTGCGCGCAACAAGATCACGATCTGAAACAGAAGAGGTATATACGCGGAGATATTTGATCGAGCTGCTCCTTTCCACTTTGTGCCCAACATTATGCACGTAAATTTGATTAGTTGGCCAGGCACGCGATCGATAAGAGCTTGCGGCGAGACAACCGATCGGAGGAAAAGTTGATTTTGCTGTGTTCGAGTAAAACGAAGGAGAAGAGAGAGAGAGAAAAGATATTGTCTTTTGTCGGTTCGGTTCAACGCCGTTTGGAAAACGGAAAACGTTCGATAATTTCATAACGGGAGAATTGTAATTCGCAGCTTACGTATTCGTCGTTGCTCGTAACCAACTGTCACCGACACTGTATTTCTCCGATTGCGCTTGGGGGGGATTTTTTTTAAATAGAAACAATTTTCTGAACTGAAGGAAGGAAAAAAGAAAATACCAAAAAAACAAAAAAAAACAAAAAAACAAAAAAGAAAGGATTAATTTTTGATTCCATGTACATGTAAAAACGTAGCAAGCAGGAAAACAATGCAGCAAAATCTCTAACACGGTAACACACGGGGAATCGGTCGAACAATTTGCTCGTCCGAGTTACTTTTATTTTTCAACAAACGCGCACACAGCGATGAATCGGGTGAGTTCCGGCATCGTAGCGATTTTGTTCACCGAGCCGGATCCGATCCGTCGCTTCTTTTCGTCTCGTTGAACGATCGCCGATACCCAATCGACCATTCCCCTCTTCGAAAACTTGTCCGGATTTACGTAATGTTTCGTGTAATGTTCCGTTGACTCGTCGCCGGAAATCCAATCGCGGCTAAAATCGATTCCACGACCGATCTTCTTTGCTCGAACGATCGCAAGATCGAGAGCTTTTAGTCCATTAACCTTTTCTCTCTTCCTTTCTTCTTTTTCTCCTCTCCATCGGGATACAATTACACGAGAGATGTACTCTTTTGAACGTCCTTCCTCTCCCTGTTTCTATATAACGAACGATAGTAATGGGGGAAAAAAGGGAAGCAGATCCCTCCTCGATCGAGATTTCCCCCCCCGTCAAAATTCCACGACTCTTATTTTCGTGGTCGCCGTTTCGGATGACCTGGTTTTCGATCAAGTAGCAGCGTACGCAATTCCCCCGCGGCAGAAAAATCCGGGAAACGCACAACGATCCTCGTTGCGCGCAAGATTCCTCGAAATTCGCGCGTTATTTATAACGATCCGTATTTTTCTCTGATCCGTGCGTTCGATCGAATCACGCCAACTCCATCGGTTATAACGTAACGTAACTCGCGTTGCCAAAAACTTTTGTCACCTTTCCCGAAATCCCTCGTATCGAACCGCATCGTTGCATCACTCTCGGGATCGCTGCTTGCAAGTTCACCCGCGAGAAGAATAAACGACGCTAATTCAAGGAAGCGCCCTTCATTCTAATTAATAACGATCGACGGTAAATCACGACGATGCAATTTTCGAAATTTGGATTTTTGAAATTGAAACGAAGCGGAGGCATCGAGACAATTTTTATCGAGTATTTCGTGCGTATATTTCTCCCGTTCCCGTATGGGAAGCCGACGGGGGGTTCCTCTCCATCGCTTCCTCCCACCCCCTTCCTTTCCTCCTCCAGAAACCAGAGAGTTTGATTTCACATCAGCGGGGCGATAATAGGATTATTGCGCAAGCATCGATTGCTGCAGCTGAAAGTTATTTATGTATGCAACAAAATATCAAATGTACGCGTTTGACGAGGAATCGCGTAATCCATTTCACGGGAATAAATCTCGCTAATAGGATCTTCCCATTTCGAGTCATACCCGATACTTAAACGATAAACTAATTCCGTGGACGTTATTAACTCGAAAGGAAGGATCTAATTATAGATCGATAATGGAAGGGTTCGTTGAAAATTTGCATATCGTCGTATATATATATATATATATATATACACGCACCTTTCTCTCTCGTGAAAATTCTATCTAGAAGAGAGACTCCCTCTATCCCCCCACACCACTTCATTTTATCTTCTTTTTTTTAATCCATCGAGTTATCCACCCAGTTGAAATTGCTTTGACGTTTAGTCGATTTCCTCCGCGCGTTTCTCTTCTTCTTCTTCTTCTTCTTCTTCTTCTTCTTCTTCTTCTTCTTCTTCTTCCTCTTGACACGTATCGCGAATTAAATCGTGCTGATGTATTAGAATTTCGGGAGATACTTCTTTCCTGTTTTTCCAGAAATAGCAATGTCTCGGGTGAAAGATCGCCGTTCGAAGGTTCCTGTTGCAGCGGGCAAGGCGTCGGCGCGGATAGCACGGAGAGCGAAGAAATGGAGGAGGTGTCCAAATATCGGGTGGTACTGCTCGGTGATTCCGGAGTCGGGAAAACAGCCCTCGTCTCCCAATTCATGACCAGCGAGTACATAAACACGTATGACGCCAGTTTAGGTAAGCTTTAGGTATCTCGTTGAAATTGATCGGCGCACAAAATTTAAATATACTCTCTTTCCCGTACTTTTTTTTTACCTGTAACCACGAGTTTCGATCTTGATTAAAATTCGTACAGATCCTCGTGGAGGAGATAACGGAACGTTAATAATGGAAAGAGGTTTTCTTATTTTCTCAATTTTTTTTTTTCTTTTTTTTTTTCTTTAAGCACGGTAACGAGACCTCGAAACGAGTCGTACTTCTCTTCGCATCGGGATACTCATTCCGATAGTGGGTTCACAGGGTTGTGGCCGGTTCACGGGAGATTTACTTTTCGCCTCCGATAACTCCGATATCGCGTTGTTCTCTTCACGATTTCTCTTCACTCCGCGTTTCTGCGCCTCCGTGCCCTCCTTCCGTTCGATTCTGGGATCCGAGCGACAAATGGAAGAATTTAACGCGTTGACTCGAGAGTCAGAGGAAGATGGTCGAAATAAAAAAAGGAAAAGAAAACAGAGAGAAAGATGGCGTGAAATTTACCAAGTGTTCGTAGACAGGTGTGTTTTCTGATAATTCTGAATAATCCCAGTTTGTAAGTTTCGCAACAAGTTACAAAATTTCCATATCGTATGCCTGGTCACGAGCTGGATTATTAGGGGATTAAATATAATGTTGTGAGACCTAGTTATTATTATCATTATTAAAAATTTCCCTCGATATTAATTCTTCAAAATTTCTTTCCACGTAATATTATTCCACGAAGAAAGGATTAGTTTCTAATAACGGAAACGCGCGGAAACGTTTCTTCTTATCTCGAGAAATTTATACAAAAAATTCTACTATGTATAAATTTGGATTCAATATTATTATTTATTCGACAATTTTTCTATTTACGTGTAACGAAGATAGGAGGTCTCGTTTAGACGTTGAGAGGCGGTGATACAAATCCAGGCAAAGGCTCGATGCATCCCCGGTTTGAACGAGTTTCGCGGTTACGCCGAACGTTAATTATAAACGCACGCGTGAGATGACAGGGGAGAAGGTTGCGGGTATAACGAGCATTTCGTTATTCTGATACTCCGCTACTCCCTATCCATAACCACCTGGCCATTTTTAACGGGTTCATCTCGTGTCCTCTCCCCGTCCTTACAATTTCACCCGGCCGCGATCGCGAGGCCGTGGAATTTAATCCCCGCGTTTAATTAACACGCTCGTGACTTCCATTCGCCCAGATTGCTATCGCGTTATCTCTTTGTTATCTCTTTCCTTCTTCAACCTCTCTTAACTCGATCGATGGTAAAGATCTAATCTAATCTATCTCTTCTCGACATTTGTACGATTTTTCATAATCGTTAAGGATTATCTAGATTATCCTACGATCTATCGAAAGCTCTGATTTTCGAGAAAGATTTGAACACTTTCGATAAAAAGAAAAAAAGAAGATATCGATTATCGAATCGAAAAATTTCGAAGAATTTCCATCGTTAATTTTTACGATTTTTATTTCTAGAAGACGAATCTCTGATTCTCGCGGAACAGATTTCTGGGCGGAGAATTTTATCGATCCTCGTTCATTGAATACCACACAGGAAACTCTGGTTCACGATTTCCCCAAGCAAAGCTCAGTTTCCGCTTAAAACGAACACGATCCGCGCAGCATGCGATAATGGCGGTTTCATGTAACCCTGCCAATGTAGATCGTTAACGTTCCTCCTCTCTATGATTGTACCACCCACCTGTCGAAGCTGTCTCGCTTATTACAGGACAATTATTGCTCGACACGATGCGCGACCGATTATACGATACTCAACTTCCGCTACATTCTTCGCGTGTTTGCCTTTTTGCAACGATCGATCGATTCGACGCCTCGAAAAAACAAAAACGATCGTGCCACGTATTTACATCGATCGTACGCAATTTTCGCGTTACGATCAACGATCAAAGGGAGTTGAATTTCATATCGGTTTTATAATAAGTAAATAAATCGCGATAATAAAAACAAGCATCGCAAATAAATAAATCATTTCAAATTCCGAATGAAATATTAAATTTTCATATTAATATCAATATCGAAATTCTGCGCAAGGACTATGTTTGGTTGATATATTTTTTCACACGTTAAGAGAGAAACCATCCCTTTTATCCCGAGTCGCTCCTTCGTAAGTAAAAAAGCACAAGAGAGAAACAAAGGTTGAAAGCAAAGTTGCATCATACCTCTATCCATAAACCTGGATAGTTGCGTTAAAAAGTTGAGAAATCAACTTACAATTCGATGAGCAATTATTCCAAAATTTCAAATTAGCGTGCACGCTGCCTTGTTAACCTTGTATCTTGAGAATTGTTACAAGTTGTCTGTCGTTACGTTAAGAGGGCATTAGGAATACATATGCGGAATACAACACGCTCACCTCGTATTATTTCATTCTTTTTACTCCTACTTCCGCTGGAAAACGGAAATTCAATCCCACGCGTATATATATCCTTCCGTGTACAAGTTCATGGTTTTTATTTAAAACCATTATCCTGCCCTCGAAAACAGACAGGACAGAACTCGTCGCGAGTTCGTCTTCGCACAATGGTTCTGCTTTATCATCGATGAGTTTCTCCCCGCCTTCCCTTTAATTCCTCGAACCTCGAATCTCGAAACGTATTAAAGCAAGTTTTAATTAAATCTCGAGAGGAATTTATATATATATATATATATATCCCCCCCTCTCCCCTATCCTCGTTTCAGCATCCTTGTTGTTGCACGATCGTCCCTTGTTATTGCACATTTTATTGTTTATCGAATTACATTGATCGACAGATGACGAGTTCGGCGAGAAGACGGTGTCAATTTTGTTGGACGGCGAGGAGTCAGAAATGGTGTTTATCGATCATCCGCACGTGGAGATGAGCGTAAGTACCATTCTCTCCGTTTCGAACGAGCTTATACGCCCACGTGTGCTCGTACCACGCCACCAGATTTCACTAAAATTTCTATAAACGCAATTTTGCGCCACGGGTGGGGGAGGGGAGGGTTGAAAGGTAAAAAGTTACAAAATAGGGGGGATAGAAACAAATATAATAACGAGACTCGACGGGGAAAAAAACTTGTACCAAAGAAGGGAAAATGAATTTTCTAAATAAATGATATTTCAATTAATTTGACGGTTAATTAGCGAAAAATAGGTAGTCGACGTTCACGGGTGAATTTCTTTTCTCGTGGGTTGAGAATAATAATTTAATTAATTTATTATGTAAACACGGTCCTCCACGTTTTTTTGGACGAATAAAAAAAAAAAAAAAAAAGATCCTTGGACGGGGATTCATGGTGACAGGAGGAGACGAGAGAGGTTTTAGAGNTTTTTTTTTTTTTTTTTTTTACGAATTTTTTGCGTAGGTCGAGAATTCTTTGTCCACCTACGAGCCGCACGCCTGCATCGTTGTGTATTCTACCGTGTCTCGTACGAGTTTCCAGGTCGCCGAGGAGATTTTAAACTATCTGTGGAGGGAGCATTACACGCAAGAACGATCCGTGATCGTGGTCGGCAACAAATCAGACCTCGCGAGAAGTCGAACGATCACGGCCAACGGTAAGGGTGAACGTATTATTTTAACCAAAATATGTGTCAATGCTCAGAATCACGCGTGAATTTCAATTTGAATTTATTTCTCTCGCGTGAAAACAGTTTATAGAGAGTATACAATTGTCAAACAAACCGATGGAAACGTAGATATATCCCTTAAATTTCTAGAGGAATTAAAAAAAAAAAAAAAATATCTGTTCGAGTCAATTCGTCATCTCGAGAAATTATTTCATTTCTTCTTCAATTTCTGTCATTTTAATTTTCCGAATCGGACAAATTATTTTAATTCAAAATTAATTCTCCACTCGAGAATGCGTTAAATTCAAATGCGTTCTCAAAAATATCAATTCTTCCAATTCTTTTTCTCCCTTTTTCGAAACAAAAATTCAAACAAAAGAAAAAATTTCAAACAAAAATTCTTTTTCTTTTTCCCAAACTTTTCGAACAATACAATATTCAATAGGAAAGATGGCGAGATGTATGAGAAATTGTTTTGGAAAATTGGAAACAAAAGTTCTCTTCTTATATAAATAAAACTGGTAAGCCAGTTGGGGGAATCACCGTTGGTTTTGTTTCAAAGAGGGTAAGCAGTTGGCGGCATCGAGGGAGTGCAAATTCATCGAGACGTCCAGCGGTATCCAGCACAATGTGGACGAGCTTCTGGTAGGCGTGCTCAAGCAGATCCGGCTTCGGGAGAATCGTGACAAGAAGCTGAAACGGCAGGGTAGCAAGAGGAGGATACTGTCGAAGCTGCACGGTAGTAAGACGGCGCTCAGCCTGAATCTCGCTAGGGAGATATTGAACAAGATGTGCTTGAACGACAGCAAGAGCAAAAGCTGCGAGAATCTGCACGTGTTGTAAGGGGGATGATAGCGATTAAATGGATCGATATTTCGATTCGTTTCCTGGAATGGATCGCGCGAATAATGGGAAGGGAGAGGGCAAAGATGGAAGATTGTCGGCGGAAAAAACTTTGGTGGCGGAACGTTTTTAGTCGATGAAAAATCGGTAATTTCGTCGTTGAAAAAACTGTGCGGTGGCGAAGTATCGATGGGAACGAAGCATCGACATTACATTAATGGAAAAGTTGCATCATCGAGATCGGGGTTTCGGGGTTTAAGAGGATTTTATTAAAATCGTTCGAGCTAATGGATGTAGGGAGATGGCGGAGTTTGAATTGGACACAGTGTACACAGAAAATCGGGTTTTTCCGCGGATATCGATTTCCAGCCGCGTTTTTACTCTCATAACGAATTCAGGAGCCTATGCGTGCCACGTCCAGATCCACGCGCAAACAAGAAAACTTTCACCAATCCCTCTCTCTGATCGAATAATATTTGCTTGGCTCCGGAATGGTGCCAACCGAGTGGATAAACCGTTTCTAAAATTGAAGAAAATTGGCGCGAACGAATTCCAGCCGAATTTCCAACGGATCGATATTTCTCCATAGTAATAATTATTTATCGAAATTATCGAATTTTTAATCTCTTGATCGCGTTCAACTCTGCAATTGGAGTTCAAAGAATGTTAAACGTCAGATAAACGAACGATTTCAAGGAAAAGTAAGGAGGCATGATAATCGTCTTAAGAATCTAATAAATCGATCGATTAAAAAGAATTCGTTCGTTTCGCAAATTTTTATCAAATTAGAATCGAAGACGAATGGGGCGAGAAATTAATCGTGGAAGCAGAAATAAATTTGGCGCGTCCCGTCCCCGATTCGATTATTTATTAGGACTTAATGAGTAACACGTGTCCTCGTATCTCGTGTTGCAACCGGTTCTTCTGTTGTGACGCTGGCTTTATATACTGGGTGATTCCTCGCGAAAACGATCGATACGCTTGCCCCACGAGTTGGGGGTGGGAAAAGTACCGAAGCACGGTATTTTATGGGCTTGAAGGTGTTAAAAGAACTTCAAGGTTTATCACTCACACTTTCTATGTCTTCTATGCCTTTCGGAATAACTTATCGATCGCAATCTTTCCTATCGTTTCTAATTAAAGAAAACACACACGGATATATACATTTCTTATTTTCTCGAAATTCAAATTTCAAAGAAAAATTTCGCGTATTAATTTCGCGTTTTATATGATAAAATTTGCACGGATGTGATGTATTCGAGATGATTCGTAAAATATCAATACGATCGTTTTACATTGTGATTTGTGGAGAATTCCTGCGCGGAAATGAAGAGAGAAAGAATGAATTTTCCGATAATTGCGGTTACGCAGTCTCGATTAAACGATTTCTATTAACGGAGATAAAAACGAGCGGATCGTAGTCTGCTTTCGAAACGAATTGATTCGCGTCAAAGCGAAACTTATCCACGGAATCGTTCCTCGTCTGGCTCGATTTTCAAAGCGATTACGTTTGCCAAGAGATCGAGACTTTACCGTGATCCCCGTGATCCATGATTAATTAAATTAGTTGAGTAAATGGAAAAAAAAAACAAAGATGCTCTTCCGTAGATGCAAACTTTGTTTCTGATTGAAATATTGAAATTTCGCTTTGAGAAGAGAATCGAAGCATCTCGCTGGACGCTGGTTTCGTCCAATTCGAGCGACGCTGGACGTCCAAAACGTTTCTTATTATTATACGACATTATGTATAGATATAAGGTAATATTAATACTTAAACGATTATATATATATGGAATAAGTTGTTTTCCAAGAATTCCTGCATCATTCTGGAAGTCTTGACTCGAGAATTCTTGTAATTTTCCGCGATTAAAAATAGAGGGCAGCTTTGATCAAAAATAAATTTAGCGGGTGATCCATCTTCGATGTATTTTTAATTTGTCTTCCACAATCGAGGAAGACGCGCATTCGATTTCCGTTGTTCCGTTCCCCTCCCACGAAACAAAGATGGTTTGGCCGCGAAAACTGGTGTCACGTGTTTAGAAAAGTATCGATAGGATCGTCGAAACGAAAAAGAAAAAGAAAAAGAAAAAAAAAAAAAAGAAAAAAAAAAAAAGAAAAATTTCAATCGAGTAGGGACGGCCTAAAAACGTACAAGGCGGATGGAGAAGGTTCCTTCCGTCGGTATATGTGCATGTAAACTTACTGTATCATTGTTGTTAATGTTTATTATTTTGGAAAAAGGCCAGCTGATTATCAATAACGATCGAAAATTGCAACAATTTTCGCAATATATTACAAATATATCGTAAGTTAGATAAGCGCTTCACATCAGCGGCTTGTATATGGTAGAAACAATCGATTACTCATATTTAATCGTAGATATTTGCGCGCCAACATTGTCACGCTCTATCCCTTCCTCCTCATAGAGTATCGGTTCGTAAATAAGAATTTGTAAACGATTAAATATTTTCTGAATCATAGGTATGCGTTGACAGAACTCGATTACGATTTATTGTACGGATATCGTTAATCGTGGATACCTAATAGTTATATGAATATCTATGAATGAAAGGCTGGTCTATTTTTATATATACGTAATCTCGTCCGATACTTTTTATTACGATCTGTCATCCACACACGATCGATGTTTTTTCTACTCTGAATGAACGATTCCACGTATGCGAGAAAATCGTGCAGGGAACGAACGTATTTCGCTCTCTTTTCTCCTATCTTTTTTTTCTTCTTTCTTTCTTTTTTTTTTTTTTNTTTTTTTTGGAGAAATTAGATTCTCGATGTTTGCATAATGCGAACGAAGATTACTACTGTTTATATATCGTCCCAACGTTTTCAAGATACATTCCGCGACGAGTCCCTGCACGTTCACACGACAATCAACATATTTTGTTATCTATCGTGATGTACTTCTATACTTGTCGTAGAACTTATGTCTTAGATGTTTATGTCGAAATATAAAGCAATATATACATAACCAGTTTGTTTCCCAAACTTATTCTTTCGTTTATTTAATTATCTTTATCGTTCGTGAAAGATAAAAATTATTTGAAAAGGAAACTTTGAAAAAAATTCTTTCTTTTAAATGGATCAAGTTTATCTCGAGGAAAGAGAACGCGCATAGCGGGAAATCAAATTGTAGCCGCGTGCACATCATACCGGATACGTCGACAACGCCATCTATCGTGAAGAGAGACACTCTCGTAGACAAACCTCGAGCTCTCGATGCAATCCGTGTCTGTAGCAATATGGCTACGTGTCGAGTGTTCTTGTAGCGTGTTTTTGGCACGGACGTAAGCATTACTTATGGCGCGAGGTATTTAACGGCCGATTTAACAACGCGTGATCGTCTGATTTGGTGATCTTCAACATGTCGACGAGTAACAAGTGGGATTTGTCCGCGGAGGATATAAAAACTGCAGCGAAAGACGAAAAGGTGAGTAATGTGCGAAAAGTTGGTCGCTGTAGCTTCGACAGCGCCACGGAGAGATGACGTGGCGGGAAATTGAAATCTGAATCGTTTCAGGAATTACTATTGGAACATGACAGCGATCCGGATGAAAATATGCTGTTCAAGTGAGTTGAGTGGATCGAATCGTTATTTCTATCGTTTATCGTAGAAGTGATTCTATTATATTTTAATGAATACATTTTTGCATTTTAGTCGACCGAGTACGTCCATAGCGGAAACTAAAACGGATGGCAAAATGGATAGGTAAGAGTATTTTCCATTTTCGTAAATAGAATTCGATTTACTTTTGTGCTGTGCTTCAACATAATCTTCCGTACCGGATAATCGATTAAAAGTTAAGAAACGAAATTAGTTACTTACGAAATATTTGAGATCAGTATCGCAGTGACGTTCATTTATTTATTTATTTTTTTTTTTCTAGCGTAAGATTACAAATACAGGAAGTTACAGAGGTGATGCGGGAAAATGTGCAAAAGGTAATAGAACGTGGAGAGAAGTTGGAAGATTTACAAGAAGTTAGCGATCGTTTAACCATGGCTGGAAACGAGTTTAGGGCAGCGGCGAGGAAAGCCCAGCAAAAGGCGTGGCTGCAGAATTTTAAAACGAGAATCATTCTTGTCACTATTACGGTGACGGTCGTCGTCTGCATCATTGGTATGATGCATGTTATCATCCAAAGTGCATGATAAGCGCATGTTGTTATTTTTTTTTTTTTATTGTGTTACATAAGACATTTAAACAGGACTGCTCAATCTTAATCCGTCTTATCTATTAAAATAAAATAATATTTGAATTTCGAGAACAAGTTATTGCTCTCAAAATAAAATTAAAAATATAGAATAGTCTAATTTTTTAAAAAATTATTGAATACATATATAATACTTCCAATTTCGATTGAGCATTTCCAGTTTATTATTATCGAACGTCTAGGTTCATCTATCTTGAACATCGTGCACCGCATCTTTCTCACTGCAGATCGCATAATTTTTGCATAAAAAAAAAAAAAAAGAAAATGGTTTTTCAAGTACAACTCATTCAGTTAGATCGACGCGTATCATTTTCAGTTCTGGACATCATGGTGCTTTACCTGGTTCTCAGATAGCGAAGTAGCGAGCCTCGATCGTTCGATTCCAGGTATTCATCACTATTTTTCACCTCTGTATAATCTGTTTACACGCCTTCATCCTTCTAGCTTTTTTTTTTTTTCACCTTGTTTAACAACCAACCAGGTAATCTTCTCATATCGTTGCAAAATTTTTCTCGCATAACTCAACATAACAATTTATCAAACGCCCCTCTTGCATTTCTGACATTATTCATCGTTCGTTCGATTGTGTACGATTTCGCTTTTTGACACCTCGCCGACAATCGACCGTGTACGCATTATGGGCGTTTTATTTTTCAGTATCCATCGCCGTGAAATATTCGTAACCAAGGCTCCCACCAGACTGATATACCACTATTGCGAGCGTACGTTTATATTTGTACCTGTCTTTCATGGATTACTCACGTGTATTATTACTATCATAAGTTTATATAAATACATATATTGTTATTTTTATTTTCGATTCGTATCCATTATCGCAAATCGCCTTACGAATCAACATTCGCAATTATTATTAGGGATGATAATTCAAAAAAAATTTTTTCGTATTTTTATAACGCGCAAATTTATTCCTTATCTCGTTACATAATTTATCGTAACGATAAGTTCGATAAATTAACGACTAAAACTTCGATCGGATTCAATCTTGTTACCTTTCATTCAAACGTCAAATTATTTTATTTGGGAAATAATGGGAGAACAATCGTAAAATAATGGAAAGAAGGGGAAACAGAAGCGCGCGCTCTGCATGAAACGCAGCCGCGGGAGCTCCCCCCTCCCAATTGGAACCCCCACATTTTACGTCGCTGGCTATCAATGACGAACACTAGCACGTTTCGCGCGAGACGAAACGAATACGAGTGTACACACGTCGGCAGATGTAATCGTACCACATACACTACTTATCCAGTTTAGTCGTCGTTCGATCGCCGTATCGAACGGTTTACTCGCGTCGAGTTTTCGCACGTCCTCGGATTATCGAATTAATTTTGAGCGTGTGTTTTGCTTCGTTTTTTTCTTTCTTTCTTTCTCTCTTTCTCTCTCTCTCTTTATTTAAAATATCACAAGGACGACGATCATCGATCACGCATCTGTAGATCGAGACGCGTTTTTTTATTATTATTAGAAATCGTTATTAGAAAATCATGGGAGTGAACGAATTAGTGATCGCGGTTCTGACCGTGTGTATCGGCGCCTACTTGCTCACAGGAAAACGACGACGCTTCATTTATTTGCTCTACAAAACCTTACCTAGAGATGTGCTGTGAGTATTTGAGAAATAGAAAAAAAAAAAAAAAAAAAAAAAATGATTCATCAAATAAGAAATAATTAACGCTGTATAATTTAACGGAATTGTTAAAACATATCTAATCTAAACGATTATTTTCATCGATCGGTTTTGCAATTTTGCATATTAGATCCAATTATTTACGTCAAATGTTCATTTAAGTAATATATTGATAAGAAAATGGTTATGATAATAATAATATATTATTTATAATTGGTAACTATTTATAATCGGTTTTCCATCACATTTGACGTTTTACAACTTTGACCACGTGCTCGTGTTGATAATCGAAATTCGCGTAATTATCGAATGGAGTCAAATCGTCGGGAGTATAATCGTCCGTAACCTTAATAATTAATTACCATCGTATCGGTAATTTTTTTATTTTTTTCGGAGTTATCGTTCTTGTAAACGTTCGTCGAATTTTTTTCTCATTTTCGAAAAGAAAAAAAAAAAAAAAAAAAAAAGAAAAAGAAAAAAAAAGTGTAGACACATTTCATTTACTCATTACGCGCCCATCATTCATTTCAAACGAATCTGAATAGAGCAACACGATTCACGACTATACGCGACAAGTACATGCAACATACTCCAAGTTCCTTCTCCTAACTCATCCTGTACAATTAGATCACTTAAGAAATTTTACGATACTATTGAACGCGTTCAAAGGTCCCGCGGGAACGCGTGATCGTGGCACGATCGTTCGAACGATCTCGTGAAACTCGAGAATCGTCAGCCGAGGATCGTTGGTAAAAAGTAAATAAAGCATCTGTCATGAATGTCTGTGACGGTATTGAAAAGATTCGGTACAAGTGGAATCGTTGATCTCGATCGCGAGAATCGGTCGAATTCAGTGGCAAGACCACAAGAATATTGTTCGTGCATGCGCGTAACCGGGCGCACGTCCATCGGCGGATGCATCGAGCGCATTGTGCCATCGTGAACGACTATTGTAGGGCCAATATGGAGCGCATGGAATTTAAACAGCCGGCTGAATAACATTGTTTTCGACCTATCATCATTCTCGATCAGGTCATCGTGCAAAAGGAGTATCGAGAGATCTGGTTTCGTCTGGATCGATCCCCATTTTATTTTATCTCTTTTTCTTTCGTATTCAAATAACGTTTCTTTCTTCCGTGGAAGTTTGAACGCGAATAAAGAATAAGATCCTTGATAAAAAGAGATAAGGAATAATAAGTAAATTTAATTAAGAATGAACGAATAAATAAATTCAACGGGCAAAATTAGAAAAATATTCGTACTGTGTTTCGTTTGAGAATTATATAATTATTCGAAACTGTGCCACAGGGTGTAATTTTAGCGGATTGTCCATTCGATCGATTCATCGATCGTACAAAAGCGCTCGAACGATATAGGTCGTTTATTTCTAATCTAAATGGTAGATAATTAAAATAATCGATAAAATTTTTTTACAAACATTTTGAAACATTAACTTTTCAAAAATTCTCGAACAATCGATCGAATATCAAGTCTGGTTCTCGGTTGAATTTTAATTTGAATTATTTAAAATTTTTAATTAAATTGCGAAAGACAAAGGAAACATTAATTTTGTTGTCGAGCTGCTCGACAAAAAAACGCATACGATTCACTTACGAAACTTATCCTCCGACAAAAATAATCAATAATAATACTTTCTTGTACCACCTTTCCAAATTTCCAAATCTTAAAAATAAAATATATGAAAAATCGTTCTATCTTCCTTTACCTTTTCCCCTATCCTAATTCTACGATAATAAAATTTCCGAAATCTGGATCTTTGAATGAAAACAATTCCAATAATTCGATCGCCGATCTGCGAGGGAATATTCGCAATCGAGTGATGAGCAAGATCAATTTCCACGTTCCACGGATTAAAATCGATTAGAACCGAATGCGAGAGAAACAAGTGGCGTGGAATCGGTATCGTATAGTCGCTTAGAAACAAACCGCAACAGGTTGTTGAAATATCATATGTTACAAGCGAGGATGGCTTCGTTTACTTTCGCGGGGCTATTGCACGCGGAACGCGCATAATCGTGCAAACATCATTTGCAAAATTGTCTTGGCGAAAGATAAACAGGCCGAGTGGCACGGCCTTGTCCGCGAACGAGTGGTGGATGCCAGCGTTTACATTCCATTAAACGTTGGTCTATCGCCACTCGAACAGCAACCGTCTCATTTGCCCTGTGCCGAAGTGATGTACTCGGTGCAGTTTCCTACGAGGCTACAATTTTCTTTTCTTTTTTTCTCCCCCCCCCCCACCCTATCATATATTTTCTTTTCTTTTTCTTTCTCTTCCTCCCCTTCAATTCCACGGGAATTTGTTTGTCGAACGATGCGAGTTTAATGTAAACAAGTATATATTTTATAATCGTTGAATAAAAGAAATGACCAGTTGGAGGAAATTTGTGTGTTTGTATAATATGATCCCCCTTCCCCTCCTCCCTTCTCTCCATAAAAAAAAAATGTTGTTGATATTTGGTAAGACTTCGTTACGTTATTATTTTTAAACCTTTTCTTCTTCGGTTGATCGAATACACACGAATAATAACATAAAATAATAACACGATTGTATTTAATTCAAGCGACATATATTGTTTATAAATCGATCTTTCCACGGAAGAAAAAGCGAAAAAAAAAAAAAAAGGAGATTGATATGGAAAAAATAATAGTATCAAAGTTTAACACGAATTAATCTCGATTCAATGATCTATCAATGCGTTGTCAACGAACGAGAGAAGAAATGCCCGGTGCAAAGTCTAGCATAAACGATCGACAAATACAATACAATTTTTCCAATAATCTAATTCTATCATTTCGTGAAAACTTACATTTTTTTTTTTTTTTTTTTTTTGAAACATCGAGTCGCGCGATATCCCTCCTCCCCCTCCCCCTCCTCCTTTCTTCCTTCGAGTAATTACGAGGATAGGGACGGGGAAAAAGCGAACTCAAGGAAAACGAGAAGAATGTTTGTTGGAAGAGTATGTTGCCGCGTGACGAGTAATCCTGCTAACCGGTCGTGGGATTAACGCATGGCAACGAAACCGCGATGCACGGATGGTCCGATGGTCGTACCTCATACCTCCTCGTAACAACTCGCTTCGTTATTTTATTTGATTTCATTTAATCACCGTGGAAGCGTTGGAAGAGGGTGACCGCTGGTATCGTATGCTCACCGCGGATGCGAGAGTTTCGACAAAGGCGTAGGTAATGTTCCTAGGGGGGGAGGGAGTGTAGGGAGGACAGTAGCAGTTCTTCTGCGGCAACACGACGATACGATTTCTTATAAATTTTCGTAAATATATTCTTCTATAACTTTCTTTCGTTAAAATTTTTTTTCTCCATTTTTTTCTCTCGAGGATATAATTTTGAGGAAATTTCTTCTTTCGCGAATCGGAAGAAGAAGAAGGAGAAGAAGAATAATTCGAACGAGCGTCGAACGATCTCTTTCTTCGATAAAACGATAATTGGAGAAGTGGGAAAGAAAAGGATCGTGGAAAGATCGCGTTCGCGTGGACACACACGTAACGCGCGCGTCGAGGCGCGAAATTACTCAATTGCTTTCTGGAGAGAGAAGGACGTATCTCGTCGGGGAGGAACGTGGCGATGGCGCGACAGAGATACGTATCATCTTTGCAGAAAACATGCAACCGTATTTCCATTGCCCGTAATTCGTTTCTAATCATTTCATTTGATCCCTCTTTCTCGTTATGAAAATCTGAATATCGCGTAGGAAATATCCGTTGAATTATCTTCAAAAGAAAAAAAAAAAAAGAAAAAAAGAAAAAGAAAAGAAAAGAAGGAAAAATAATTTCTCAATTTCAAAATATTAGAGAGTTGTTTTAAAAATGTTAGAGAAAGAAATTTTGCAACGACGATAAAATATTCCTCGTATATCAACGGGGTATATAAAAGATGACTTTTGTTTCGATGCGATACAGGGGCGCGTACAGATTCGTTCGGGTGAACGTGTTGCTATGGTGGTGGGAATGGCAAAAATTAACCGTGGCCAAGATATTCAGCAGGCAAGCCACGGATAATCCGGAAAAGATCGCTTTCATCTTCGAAGACAAGGAATGGACTTACAAAGAGGTGAGTTGAATTAATTATCGCGGCACTCTCGAAGGCGAGGCGATGTATGTAATCCCCTTTGATTCGCTCCGCAGCTGGAAGGATACAGCAATCGGATTGGACGTTACTTCGCTGGCAAATCCTTGTCCCGCGAAGACAGCGTTGGCCTCATTATGGAAAGTCGGCCCGAATATGTAGGGATCTGGCTAGGTCTGAGCAAAGCTGGTTTGGTGGGCGCCCTTCTGAACACGAATCTTCGACAGGATGTCCTGATGCACAGTATCAAAGCAGCCAATTGCAAGGCTGTCATCTTCGGGTCGAATTTTAAGGACGGTAAGCTCGTAATGTTTGGGAAAGAAAATTTTTTAACCATTCATATCCGAGTTTTCCATTTTTCTATTTTTAGTTCCAATATATATATATACATTTGTGAATTATTCAAGGGGATTAGATTGACAAGATTGACCGATAGCAATTTTCTCTTCTCAGCAATGGTCGAAATTAGAGAGAGAATTCCCAATGTGGCTCTGTATCAATGGTCTGAACTTCCCGACACATCGTGCCTGGAAGGAGCGATCGATTTGAACCCGGAAATCAGTAGCGTAGATTCGGGACCCCTGGACACAGTGGCCCTCGGTACTCCTAGGGACAAATTGATTTATATATACACGTCTGGCACCACAGGGATGCCGAAAGCTGCCGTTATAACAAATTTAAGGTACGATTTTCTTATTTTTGTCTCTTTATTTTTCGAACGACATCTTTTACGATCATTCAAAATCGAAAGAAAGTACGTAGCTTTTATATAAAGAGTAATTTAAAATTCGTATAGAAAACCAATATTTTCTTCCAGCGACTTGCAAAAATTAAATAAGCGCGTCAATTAAAGAAAATTCTTTAATAGTTGAATAACATTTTTATTATCGTTGCGTCTAAACATCCGCTTATACGCTATTATTGTCTACTACGCTTGCTATCCGAGAGTTTCTCTCTCGTTGATTACCACGAATATCGTTTTACATCTCGATGTATCAATGATCAATTATCATTTTTAGATACATGCTGATGTCATGCGGCGTGAACTCTATGCTGAATCTACGGCCAACCGATCGTATTTATAATTCCTTGCCTCTCTATCACACGGCTGGAGGCCTAATTGGAGTAGGTCAAGCATTGCTGAGAGGAATCACAGTCGTGCTTCGCAGACGTTTCAGCGCTTCCAAATTTTGGCCGGATTGTGTTCATTACGAGTGCACCGTAAACTTATTCCTCCACTACCGTCTAGATCTAGATCTCGTTGAATTTTGTTTAAATAAATAAAAATATATATATATATATATATCGAGCTTGTTGAACATCCGTATATGTATTCTCATCCGTATGTGTTTTTCTCTGCCGGTCATAGGTTGCTCAGTACATCGGCGAGATATGTCGATATCTGCTCACTGCGCCGGCTGCCCCTTGCGATACAACGCACAAAGTTCGACTGATGTTTGGAAACGGTCTCAGACCCCAGATATGGAAACCTTTCGTGGATAGATTCGGTGTGAAGCAAATAGGAGAATTTTACGGTGCCACGGAAGGGAATTCGAATCTTGGTAATTTGGCCTTTACCTTACTTTTATTATCTCATTTTTAAACGATTTTAAACGATTCGTTTTTACGTAAAAATTATTTCGAACAGTGAATATCGATAACACGATTGGAGCAGTTGGATTTGTCCCGCTATGCGGCAGTTCTTTGTATCCTGTGGCTTTACTAAGAGTAGATGAAGAGACTGGAGAACCGTTGAGGGGATCGGACGGTCTCTGCATTCGTTGTAAACCTGGTTAATAACACACTTTTTTTTTTTTTTTTATTTTAAAAACTTGAAATTTAATCAGTATTTTCAAAAACACGAAACTATATGGTAAAATATTTTTCTTTTCCTCTTTTAAGGAGAATCGGGCATCTTTGTGGGAAAGATCAATCCGAAAAGGGTATTGAACGATTTTTCTGGATACGTGGATAGAAAAGCATCGGAACAAAAAATTCTTCGCGATGTATTCAGGAAAGGCGATCGAGTCTTTAATTCTGGTAATTGAAATAAAGCGATAAAAAGAAAATTCATCGATCTATTTATAAAAAAATTCATAATTGAAACGTGCTTCTTCTGCAGGCGATATTTTGCTCATGGACGAATTCGGATNNCGGAGGTGGAGGCTGTCGTCAGCAATGTGATAGGTTTGAAAGATGCAGCTGTATATGGAGTCGAGGTGATCGAACGAAACGATGATCAATTTTTATTTAGAATAATTTGATCTACGATGTTGTGCAATTGGCAGGTACCTGGAACCGAGGGAAAGGCTGGAATGGCCGCCATTTACGATCCAGAATATACTTTGAACATCAAAGAAATGGCGGACGGCGTGAAGAAATCTTTACCATCGTATGCCAGACCTCTTTTCGTTCGAGTGTTGTCGGAATTGCCGATGACTGGCAAGTATTTTAATTACAATTGATCGTTCGGAATTGTTGACTGAAACTTTTCTTTTTCTTTTATTTCAGGCACGTTTAAATTGAAGAAAAAAGATCTTCAAGAAGATGGATTCGATATTAAAAAGGTAAAGGTATTTTAATTTATTTTAAATAAATGTAATATTAAAATGACTACGTAAGATTGATTTGATCGCGTTTCCGTTTCCACAGATCACAGACCCGATTTATTTCCTCGACAACTCTGGTGTCTACGTAAAGTTGACAGAAGAAATTTACAACAATATACTGGAGGGGAAAATTCGATTGTGAATTCGTAATTTTTTTAGCGAGTTCACCAAAGTATAAACAATCTCGTTTTTTGTATAATTTCTATTTATTGACGAGAGGAATAGTCTATTTAGACAGATTTATCTTTTGTCTATAAATATTTCCGGACGAAATTTTATCAGCGAACTTGCTATCGGAGAATTGCTACATTTATACGTATTTTTATATCTATTTTAATTTACGATTCTTATAATAGAAACTGTAAAAAAGTTTCGGAATAATAGAATTGTAAGAGATAGATAATATTTTAATAGATACACGTATTTCAAGGAAAAAAAAAAAAAAGAAAAAGAAAAGAAAAGAAAAAGTATCGACTGGAAGAAACTTACGTCTCGTAAAAAAAATTGTGAATTATTAATTTTTAATCGCCTAGACGGATCATTTCTGAACATTTTGTCCATCGCATGGAATTACTAGAGATTTTAAGACTTTTAAGTTATTTTATAAAAAGATGGTGAAGGTAGGGAGCGAAACGACTGTGACTCTGTAAAGTAACCGTGTATAAAATGAAACTCTGCGTCATAGTTTAATAAATTGTCCCCTTGTTGAAAAAAAAAAAAAAAACCAATTCGAGCTGGACTTTGTCCCCTGGAGATGCCTTACAGTACGCCCACCCGTAGTATTGTCTCTAATAAAAAGCAGAAATCGTTGGTGCGCAGTCTCCGTTCGAGTACAGTGACCCTCATCGTTATCGGGCCGTCTGTCAAGTATCAGATATAATATTCCTTCCTCACGATTCGGTTCACGCATCCAGTAATTCGGTATTTCGATAAAAAGAATAAAATCTTCTTATATGGAAAAAAAAAAAACGATCGATAAAGTAATTTTCAATCCAAAATTAATTCCGTTTAAAAAAAAAAAAAAAAAAAGAAATATCACTCTCTGTATCTCTCCCCGGATTGGGATGACGCGACAAAGATAATTATTTTAATACAGAGCGGTGACCGACCAGCGATGATTCTAACCTCGAACCTGTTCCCCGAATGAGAACCTCGTTTTTATCAACCTCGATGCGAGAAAATTTGCGGTCGGATCGCGTTACGTAATCGCGTTCGTTATCAGACCAAAGAAATGAAAAAATACAAGAGAATCCGTATTGCGTCGATTCTCGTCACCGTGTCTAGTGTGCTCTGGAGGACATTTGTCGAAACTAGTTGAGTCGAATCGATCAATACCAACGTCGGGAGAAAGTTTTGATTATTGATTTATTGATCATCTTCGTCGAAGAGATGAAAGGGAGGAAATAATCGTTCCGTGCCCTCGACATAGTTTATCAACAATCATCAAAATCATCGTCGTGGGGAACAGGCACGCGACTGTTTACATTGTTATGTACACATCGTTAAAGTCTCGTCAAATCTTATCAAGTATTATTGCGCACAAATCTCGGATCCCTTTCTCGATCCAGCTCGATTCCAGAGTCCAGAATCGAGCAGATTCGATCCTCGAGTGTTTGTCGGCGCTGTGAACCGAGTAAATCGCGTAGTAAAAATGGGTGGTGATAAATTCGAGTTCGCCATAGATCGCGGCGGCACGTTTACCGACGTGTACGCTAAGTGCCCAGGCGGGAAAATTCGAGTGATGAAACTGCTCTCCGTGGATCCTGCCAACTACGACGATGCCCCGCGCGAAGGTATTCGCAGGATTCTCCAACAGGTATTATTTATATTTATCGCGATAATCTTGACTCGATGGTCGGTGTAACGTGAGAAATTTGCAGGAGACTGGGAGAAAAATCGAAGGAGAGATAGACGGATCGTTGATATCGTGGATTCGAATGGGCACGACAGTTGCCACGAACGCTCTTTTGGAGAGAAAAGGCGCGAAAATGGCGCTGTTGATCAACGAAGGATTCAAAGATCTTCTTTTCATCGGGAATCAAGCACGCCCCGATATATTCGACTTGGTATATGTAATGCATTATCGTATTATCGCGACACAATTAAATTAAGAAAGATTGTTCCTTGTCGTTTCTTTAGCAAGTAGTCACTCCAGAAGTATTGTACGAAAAGGTAGTCGAAGTTGAGTGCAGAGTGATACCCGCATCGGTTGGAAAGTGTCAGTTGGATCACAAGAAATGGCGCAGAGTGAAGGGATGTACGGGGGAGGATCTATTTATCACTCGAGAATTGGACGAGGAAAAGTTGAAATTAGATCTGGAGGAATTGAGAAGATCGGGGATCGAGAGTTTAGCCGTGGTCCTCGCGCACAGTTACACGTTTGTTACCATGCATACACCAATTATAATCTACTACTATTACTTTTATCATCGTTCGTTTCTTTTATACATCTTAGATACGGCGAACACGAAATACGAATAGGGGAATTGGCGAAACTCGTTGGTTTCCCCCAAGTTTCGCTTTCGCACGAAATTATGCCTATGGCGAGAATGGTTCCTAGAGGATTCACAGCCTGCGCCGATGCATACTTGACCCCGCACATTAAACGATACTTAGAGGTATTTTTTTTAAAAAAAAAATATTATTCGAGGATAAATAAGAATTTTCTAAATAAATCTTTCAATCTTTTTAGGGATTCTCTTCTGGTTTCAAAGATAAATTGAAAGGTGTGAACGTGCTGTTCATGCAAAGCGACGGTGGATTGACTCCAATGAATTCGTGAGTGCAGATTCGATCGAGGAGGTCAATCCGATGAAAAACAATTACGCGTTTAGTCCTCTTTCAATGTAGATTCAACGGGTCTCGGGCCATTCTTTCCGGCCCAGCGGGCGGAGTCGTCGGTTATGCGATGACCACGTACAGCAAAGAGACCGATTTGCCCGTGATTGGATTCGATATGGGCGGTACTTCTACCGATGTCAGTCGTTTCGGTGGTAGCTACGAGCACGTATACGAGAGCACAACCGCAGGTGTCACGATCCAAGCTGCACAGGTATTCCCTCACTTTACATTCGGGTAAATTTCAATTTCCAATACGATATCGTCTTGAAAACGATACAATAATTTCAATCAATCGTCAAAATCGTAAAATCGGTATCTTTTAACCCTTTGTACTCCAGGCCTGTTTCGCTCGGTCGAACCAGCAACTCCAGACTCAGATTCCTCATAACTCCGAACTCAGATCCTCCAGACTCAGATTTCTCATAAGATTACCATAAGATAATTACTCATAAGATAAGATTACATCTCATAAGATTATACCTATTTATGAAGCGATATTCTAAAAAAATCAAACATAAATAAATATTATCGCCGCTGGAGTTAACTCAAGTGGTGACTCGAGAGTCACCGTTGGAGAGCAAAGGGTTAATTGGCTCGGTGTATATGAATTAATCAAAGGGCGTTATATAAGAGAACGCGATTGAAACAAATTTTTCAACAAAAATTGGGTTGAAGTTGGACGTGAACACAGTTGCGGCAGGAGGTGGATCGATGCTTTTCTTCAGGTCGGGTCTCTTCGAGGTCGGGCCCGAGAGCGCAGGGGCACATCCTGGCCCAGCTTGTTACAAGAAGAACGGCCCCCTGGCTGTCACCGATGCGAACCTCGCTCTCGGAAGACTTTTGCCCGAATATTTCCCGAAAATATTTGGCCCGAGTGAGAACGAACCGTTGGACAAGTCTCGAACGATGGAAGCTTTTCAAATTCTCACCGATCAAGTACAAAGTTTCTTCGTTTATTTATTTATTTATTTTTTTATTTTTTTATTAAGATATCGTCGGAAATCATAAATAATTTATGGGAATACCTCTGATTTATAGATAAACGAATTTCTAGCGAAAGAGGGGCACGGCGCGAAGATGAGCATCGAGGAAGTGGCGATGGGATTCGTCAGAGTTGCTAACGAAACTATGTGTCGACCGATACGAGCTCTCACTCAGGTATTGATCGATTAAATATCACGATTAAAAATTTATGAATAATTTGCTCTCAAAAAGATTTATATATATATATATTAGGCGAAAGGTTACGATACATCTCGCCACGTTTTGGCGTGTTTCGGGGGTGCAGGGGGACAACACGCGTGCGCCATTGCGCGTTCTTTAGGAATGGGAACTGTATTCGTCCACAAATATGCCGGAATTTTGTCAGCCTACGGAATGGCATTGGCTGACGTCGTAGAAGAGGCCCAAGAACCTAGCGCAGAGGTTTACGAACAGGGTATTACATTTAATAATATAAATAAAATCAAAATTTGACAAATATTGTACTGAATTGTTAGAAATTGAATTGTGTTATTTATTTATTATTCCTCTGCTCGAAGAATCGTTCGCACGTTTGGACGAACGATTGGACGCCTTGGAGAGGAAAGTTCGTGCAAAGTTGGCTGCCCAAGCATTCCCCGAATCTCACATAAAAACGGAACCTTTTCTACATTTGCGTTATCAAGGGACAGACTGCGCTCTAATGTGTACGGCTAGCCAAGATACCAAACACAAGGGCACGAAACACGGAGATTTTCTCAGTACCTTTTTGGAAAGGTAAAGTAAGCTCGTAACATCAATAGATAGAGATACGAAAAAAGAAGAAAAAGAAAAAAAAATCTAGAAATCTTAATTAAATTGAAATCAAGGTATCAAACGGAGTTCGGTTTCACCATGCCCAATCGAAAGATCCTGGTAAACGACGTGAGAATAAGGGGTACGGGGAGAACAGACATCGAGGAAGATCCAATTTTATCTTCGTCCAACGAGCCGCCGAAATTCGAAAAGGCAAGAATGTTGCATGTGAATGTCGAACGCTAGCGTGTTCCATCAAACGTTAAACAAACGAAACGAAACTCTTTTTTCTAACAAAATTAGACCACCATGGTATATTTCGAGAACGGCTACCAGGAGACCAAAGTGTACCAGCTGCGCTCCCTGTCGCCCGGCCACGAGATTCACGGACCGGCGATCATAATGGACAGCCTGAGCACTCTTCTGATCGAGCCTGATTGCAAAGCGTCGATCACGCCTCGCGGCGACGCGAGGATAACGATCGGCCAAGGATCGAGAGCCGAGGTCACCACCGAATTGGACACCATTCAATTGAGCATATTCTCTCATCGTTTCATGAGCATCGCCGAACAAATGGGCAGGTAGATGGAGCAAAGAATCGCGGCTAACAAGAATCCATAGACACGAATAGATCACGGTTTAATGTATTAATTAATGTGCAACACGAAGGATCCTTCAGCGTACCGCAATCTCGACCAATATTAAGGAGCGGCTGGATTTTTCTTGCGCGATTTTCGGACCTGATGGCGGCCTCGTTTCCAATGCCCCCCATATACCCGTGCACCTGGGCGCCATGCAGGAGACCGTTCAATACCAGATGAAGGCGTTCAAGGGTGAATTCGAGAGGGGAGACGCGATCCTCGCGAATCATCCCCTGGCAGGGGGATCCCATCTTCCAGATCTTACCGTCATCACCCCTGTCTTTTACAAGTATTTCTTCTTCCAATATTTCTTCTTAGAATATTATTATTATTACGTCGATTTGGTTTGATTTGATTCAATTGTCACTGTCGTTTCGTGTGAGCAGGGACGTGGAGAAGCCGGTGTTCTTCGTTGCCAGCAGGGGACACCATGCCGATATTGGAGGAATCACGCCTGGTTCCATGCCTCCGCATTCGACTTCTTTGCTTCAGGTAATCGATTGGAAATTTTAATAATTGGTAAAACAGGATTATTCTCTTGTGCGCAGGAAGGGGCGACGTTTAAAAGTTTCTTGTTGGTGCACAGAGGGGTATTCAGGGAGAAGGAGTTAACGGAAGCGTTGATGGAACCGGGAAAAATTGCGGGGAGTTCCGGAACCAGGAATCTGTCCGACAATCTGAGCGATCTCAAGGCTCAGATCGCAGCCAATCACAAAGTAAATTGTTCACTCAAGTCTCCAATATTTTTCTCATTCATCTTTTGAGAAATTGGTATTCGTCATAGGGATCGATGTTGGTCAACGAGTTGATCGATATATACGGCCTCGACGTGGTGCAAGCTTACATGGGTCACATTCAACGCAACGCCGAAGTTGCCGTGAGAGATATGTTAAAATCTGTCGGGAAAAGGCTTCTCGAGCAAACTGGAAACACCAGGGCAACTGCGATCGATTATCTGGACGATGGCAGCCCTATTCGATTCCTTTTGAACATCGACGTGGACAAGGGTGAAGCGGTCTGCGATTTCTCGTAAGTCCTCCCTCTCCCCCATATCGACGTTTTAATTTTAATCCTGTTACATAGAATTCTTTATTGGGGAAAAAAAAAAAATTGTCGAAACTTTAGCGGCACGGGGTACGAAGTGTGGGGCAATTGTAACGCACCCAGGGCCATCACTCTTTCCGCGTTGATTTATTGTTTGAGATGCATAGTGGGCAGAGACGTTCCTTTAAACCAGGTAACCATCATTTTCTTTCATCGTTTTCTTTATTATTCGTCGAATGCAAAGCACGACAATTTGCGCGACTGACGAAAAAAATTTAATGGTTAAATTTCTCAGGGTTGTCTGAAGCCTGTAAAGGTAATAATTCCAAAGGGATCGCTTCTGGATCCTTCGGAGGAGGCAGCGGTGGTCGGTGGCAACGTTCTCACGTCGCAACGCGTGGTCGACGTGGTTCTACGAGCTTTCGGTGCTTGCGCAGCGTCACAAGGCTGCATGAACAACGTGACGCTCGGCACCGAAGAGTGGGGTTATTACGAAACTGTCGCCGGGGGCAGTGGAGCCGTAAGAGATTCAACTTGTGCGTTTCTTCAAATAGCGACATTTTCATTCTGTGATATCATGTTCGCAAAAGGGCCCGACCTGGGACGGCAGAGGAGGGGTGCACACTCACATGACCAACACGAGAATCACCGACCCGGAGATACTGGAACTTCGTTACCCGCTCATTCTTAATAAGTTTTCCCTTCGAACCGGAAGCGGAGGAGCCGGGGCCCATCGAGGAGGCGACGGAGTTGTCCGCGAAACGACGTTCAGGCAATTGAAAATTTGTCAATTGAACGTTCCGAAGCTTTCCTTTTCTCAATACTTTGTTTCTTTTTCTTCTACAGAGCGCCTATGACGTTGTCCATATTAACGGAAAGAAGGGTAAATAGCCCGCCTGGATTGGCTGGGGGAGGATCGGGTCGAAAAGGAAGGAACACGTTGGTAAAAGCCGACGGTAGAAAGATCAATCTCGGCCCGAAAACCGCGGTACCCGTTTATCCAGGGGTAAGAAAAACGGTTCTTCCGTCATCTCGCCGTACAAATAGATACGACTTTGCATAAAAATTTGACGCGGCTAGTTGTAAAAATCGCGTCAATTTAAGCGCGAAACAGAATTTATTCGCATTTTATCGTCGTCCCAAACGTAAAAGATTTTATCACGCGATCGCACAGTGTTTCTTCCAATTCTCTGCTTTCGACTCCCCTTCCTTCTTCTTCCCTGTAGCGAGCGTAATTTCGACAAAATTTTCCCCGATACTTATCGAAGAAACGAGAACGAGATATTATATTTCGAAAGGGATCGGTCGCGCCGCGAAAGAAGGAAACGTGGAATACGAATCGTTTCCAATCTCTCTCTCCTCGTTTTTCCGTTATTCTCGCGATTTCCAATTTTATTTTTCGTGGAAAGGCACGCCAATCATCGAGTGCGCTTCTACATCGTAATATTTTTCCACGCAGGACACGTTTATACTGGAAACTCCCGGAGGCGGTGGCTACGGTCCTCCCGGAGTTGAGAAATCCGAGGGATCGATTCGGAGAGAAGCTCGAGGATTCGTGGAACGCGGAAGCGTGTTCGAATACAGAAAAGCTCAAGAATCTGTGTGACGCGTGACCATGAGCTCGCATGATATCGCTCGAAAATTAATTACGGCTGTAGAATGCGCATAATATTCTTATCTTTGTAACTGTATCGATCGGAGACAATAAATAGCGAGCAATCTATACTCGATAATAACCGTCCGATCGTATCGACGATAATAACCGGAGGAACCATCCTTAAGAGGGTAATTCCAAGCGTCCAATTTATCTCCCCGTGAACGATTATCATTCACAAGTTTCATAATAAATCGAGGGCCTCGAGAAATCAAATTTACCAGACCTTATCGAGCATCGATTTTGCCCTCCTCCCCTCCCAAGTAGCGCGCGATGGCCACCGTTCCATTTCCGGTCGCAGTAATTGCCGACCGAAATATCGCGGCCACTGAAACACGCGTCCAGCTCGAAACTTCCGATTGCACTTCCATTTGCTCGAAACGTTTCTTAGAAACCATCCAATATTCATGCATTTCCACTTCGAATTTCATTTCACTATATATATACATATATATACCGTTGGAAGAGAAGAAAAATAGCATCGCACGGATCGCATAGGAGAAATCGTTCGATTCCTATCACGGAGCCACCGAATAGAGCCCTCCCTCATTCACGCGCATCGAACAGTGGCAAAGAGGAAGAGGGGAGGAACGAGAGGTCTTATTTCGAAGACTTTTGCTAGATAAGAAGCTTCTTTGTGCGCTCCTCTTTTCATCGCGAAACGCGAACTGGCGAGAAACGGTCGCGCACGGTGTCGCATTAAAATGCAACGGGGAGCGTCGCGTGTTAAGGCCCGTTCACAATTAGCGGGGTTTTGAACGAGGCCGCGCTGATCCTGGAAACTGTACACGCCTGAAACCGTAAAAGGAGTGGAGGGAAAAACTGCCACTCTTTCACGCGCGGGATAAATTGCACAATTTTCTCTCCCTTTCCTTCGTTCGTTCGTTCGTTCGCGGGAGAAGAATGGCGGCGCGCGACAAGGAGACGTTGATTGAAAGAGAAACACTTTTATTTTCCTCTTTCGCGTGGTTTATATATATATATATATATTGTCTCGAATAATTTTAACAACGAAGGAAATCAACGCCTCTGTCAACCGATCGTTTCGACGTGTATCATCGACGAGGTCGATACGATCGCGAAACGATTTTCGAGGAAAATGTTACAAATGTTGTACGCGAAAAGAGGAAAAGTTGGGTGAAAAACGACGACGACGGTTGGATAAAGTTTGTGCCTTCCTCTTTTGCCAAACTTTATATATATATATATTTCTCGTCGTTACGCGTTTTTGCGTTCAACAGTTACTAGCCGATTTTTCCAGAAATCTTGCTTTTCGTAAGAGAACTTCGCGATACCTTTTTTTTCGCGAAAACATTTCTCTCTACGGGAGGAAATAGTCCTCGATACGAACGTCCTCGAGACGCCAGTCAATTTGCCAGACACTTCTCGCGTTTGATTCGATCTAAAATTCTAATAATTATTCCGTGCGCGAGACTTGGACGTAAAAGCGCGTGTAAACGATAATCGTATCTACGCGATAAATCCTCGATCATTTGTCAAATAATTCTCCTATAAAAGCCGGTTGGTTTCCACCGAACGGAGCCGATCGAGTTCCGAATTAATTCAAATTAACGGTTATCCTTATTAAAAAATGAGGATACTCTCGATATTTTTCTTCTACTTCACGCTCTCCTCTTGCTTGCTCTCGAGCACTCATTGCAAGGAACAATCGATTCAGGATGGAGACTCTGAATACCCGAAACTAGAAAATACGCGAGTCGAGCAATCGGACGGGGAGAAGGAGAATCTATGCCCTCCAACGAGGCATTTAACAAAGTTGCGCCATTTCTTCGGAAAAACTTGTGACAGGTGGGTTCCAGTGACAATGCGGTCCAATTACCTTGATTATTCTTTCGTTTCGTTGCATTTGGAAGAAATTTCCCTTCGCGAGAAGGGCGCCGTAACGAGCCCTAGATAGAAACGGGTAGAAAAGAGTTCGTTTAAACTTTTCCGAGAAATTAAAAACGAAAAATAAAAGAAAAAAGAAAAAAAAATCGTGTCGAAGAGTCAGAGGAATCGAGGATTTAACGAAGAATAAAAACACGACGTCCAGACGACAAGTTTCCTTTGACTTTGTTGGCGGAAAATGCCGGAATCGGGCAACTTTCCTCGCGAAAATTGAATCGAAGATGGGCGAATGAGGAGAAAGAAAGCAGCGAGGCATTTCGCGAATCCGGATTCCCCAGGCAAGCTTTCAATCTGAACGGCAAACTTAACCTCGATCCGCGCGCGTTCAGCTTCTTTCTTTTGTTTTCCAGCCGGGGTGATCAACAACACTCGCGGGACCGACAAACCGACGAAACTTTTCAAGGCGAGAAACAAGGACGGGAGGAGAAGAATCGTGATAATCAACGCGGTTCAAATTCGTTCAAATTTTCGGCCTTGTTTTCATTTAAAAATGGATCCTTCATGATGAACAGCTTTCCTGGTTACCCCATCGCCAAGATTTTCAATCTTCTGATCAACATGTTTAAACCGAAATCCGAAAAAAATCCGAAATCGAGAACTGATAAAATCTCGAATCGAACGGATCGATGAGAAGAGAAACGATCGCGTTTCGAAAACATCGAAGACGCTTTATCGTCTTTGTTGCGTACGCCCACTTCACAAAATTGTATCTCACACATTGATTGAAAAATAAATAGAACGGTGGTTATAATCGAGTTTGCTTCCCTTCGAACACGTACGTCGAGGACAACATTGAAGATAGAAAGGGCGAATCGAGAGAGAAAGAGCGCAGAGAGTTACGGGAGATAAATGGACAGCTCGAAGGAGAGGATGTTTTCGCCAAGGATAAAAGGGAGCTCGCCGATTATACCGTTCATCTTTGGAGAAAAATTTTTTCGACGGGTTTCCCCTCATCTTTCGAATCACCCATCCATCGAAACGAACAGATATATAAACTTTAGACGTAGCGTTTCGAACGTAACAGGTGTTGCGCCGTAAATCCGCTATCGTCCACGTGTATCAGGATTAATGACCAGAGAGATAATGACTCGTGCGTGAATGGATATCGAATTAGCTATACCCCCAGCGAAATTTAAGGTAACCGATCACCGATCGCCAAACGCGTTCCTTAATTAATCACGTTCCGTTGGACAATGCATATTTGATGAGCAAATCGGTTTAGTATTAATATCGTGATTATCGATTCATTCGTTACTTTGAATAATCGAATTAACGGGCTAGATATCCTCGAGCGAAACGATCGAATTAAATTGAACCGATTCAACAGCAAGGTATTTCGCTCGACTTCGCTTAATTCGTTCAGTCATTTAAAATCGTTCTTTTTCTTTCACCCGGAAAAGTATTCGCCATTGTTATTTCAATGCGCGTAAAAATGCGCGAAAAACATTTTTCACCGATCTAACGAGCGGCATCGATACCGGAAGAGAAATTTTCATGGAAACGAAGAGAATCCTCCTCTTTCCTTCCTTCACCTTTACGTACGGATTACTTTCCATAGAATAGCTTGCGCATTCTTCGAAGGCTCGGCCGTGACAACAACGAATCGATCCGATGAAAAATGAGAGAGGTTCGTAGATCGCGATACGAAGAGAACGAACGATCCTTACCCAATAATTTCAACTCCCGTCGAAAGGAAAGACATTGTTTCGCACGTGTCGAAGACAATATTCCATTTTCTCCTAGCTGAAATCGAAAAATGTAACTCCAGTCTTCGAGAAGCACGTGAGTAAATTGTTCGATTCGTTAATTATTATCTATATATTGCCCGTGTATTTATATATACACTCACGTATCTTGGAATCGCGTAAACGTGACCTCGATCGTGAGATTTATCGCGTCTCCCTTGCTGGAAAATGTGGCTCGCACGAGGGGATAACATTCGACGAACGATCATGGCAAAACCTTCCAAGATTCCTCGTGCCTCATATCACGTAACACTTAATCGCGCCCATCTTTTTCTCTCGTCGTTTCGTTAACTCTCGTAGCATATTCCACGAAGGGAATGACGAATGAATTCCCTTCCGCGTCCAAGCTTCCACTGACACGACACGTGCGGCTTTTCGGGCGCGTTTCTGAAAACGGGGTAAATTGCACGCGTGTTCCCGCGCTGACGTGTACGAATTGCGGACGGGCGAAGGAAAAATGGAAGACGCGTCGAGGAGATAAGCGGGGTCGAAAGATTGCTCGCGCGGAAAACGGCGCGATCAGCCGCGAGAGCGAGGAGGAGGAGGAGGAGGAGGGGTGAACGAGAAAAAGGGGTGGTCAGTCGATGCCAACCGAGCCACTCGCGCATAAATCCTATTCCTCCTCCTCCGTGTGATGCCTCCTCGTGCGAGAGCGTGTGTTCTTTCAGCGGGAAACGTATGCGCGCATACGTACTCTCCGCGCGACTTGTCTCGGCTCGGATCTCGCGCATAAATCGCCCGGCCAACGTTTCCTCCGGATCCCATGGAAAACTGCAAGAATAATTTCCCGACTGTTCCCGACTTTTTGCGCCACCGTTTCGCCTCCTCGTATTTTAATGTTCAACACTTTGTGCACCGTGGCTCAAGTTAGGGGTGGGGGGAAGGAGGTGGAGATGGGGAAGGGAAGGAGGGGTGAGATATTGCCGATGTTACCGGAACCTGACAACCGAGAATTCTCTCCCTGACAAACGAGAATTCTCGCGTTTTATATGGACAGTTAGTTTACCTCCCCCTTTTTTTTTTTTTTTAGGCGGAATAAAATTCCAACGGGTTGATGGGTTGACGGGTGTCGAGCGGGAGATCGTTTTAAAAAGATTTTTATCTTCCCACCTTTTTCTTTCAGATTCATCGAAATTCGTGAATACGAGAAGGAAGATCGTATCGAGGTTTCTGTTACGAGTCGATTATAGCCTTCCTCTCCCTCCTTCGAAAAAAAAAAAAAAGAAAAAAAAAAGATTCAAGAGTTATCGAGAAACGGTTACGCGCTCGGTCGCATTAAGCGACTATCTTTGATCGCGAGGCGACGAGATTTTTTCCCTTCCTCGCGGGGGAAATTCAATTTTTAGGAAAAATTGAAAGAGCGTAGGGTGTAATAGACGGATTATACCGGAAGCTGAATATTAAACAGAGGAAACTGCCGCGAGGTAATCGCGTGAAAAGTTGGCGAAAGTGGAACGACAGGGTCCGCGCCTTTAACGCCTCCTCGCCTTCCTTCACGCGATCTTGTTACACCGTAACTTGCTACTTGCTCGATATTAGAACGGTTCCCGAGCTAAGGCGCGGGCGAAGCGAGACAAGAAGCGTAAAAAAACGCCTTTTCGCCGAGCACTGTCCCGTAATGGTACGCGAAACTCTTTTTACGAAACTTCTTCCCCGAATTTGGGAGGTTTTGCTCGCTTTAAAGGGCAAATAAGGAGCTCTTTCTCGCCTAAATCTTTCCCTAATCCTCCCCGATTACGAGATATCCTTTTCGCGCCTGAATCCGTTGAGACGAGACAAAGTTGGCCGAGGATCGATGGAAAGCTTGTAATCGCGAAAGAGAGATCTCGCCTCGTCGTTTTCGATAATCGATATTCGACAGTCTTTCGAATTTCGACGAAACGTTTTTTGGTTAGAATTTTCGTTCGTTGATCGGAATGTTGCGCTCGAAATTGGGTATGCTGGCTAAAGTCACCCCAGTGGTCAAGCATCCGAAAAAGCCGGAAAAGAAAAACAGTTGGATGTTCATGATGTCCAAGTTCGTGTTCAATTTGGCCGGATACAACAGATACGGATTGTACAGCGACGACATGTTATATCACGAAAGCCCCGTGGTGAAAGAGGCGCTTCGTCGATTGCCTAAAGAAGTGCTCGACGCGAGAAATTTTAGGTATTTCCGCGCGTCACGAATTTCCATACGTTCGATCTTCTCCCCTCTCCCCCCTCCCCCGATCGAATATATCCGTAATTTCGCATATTTGCGAGACTATGCACGTAAATCCACGATGATCAGGATCATCACGGAATTTCCAGGAGCATACGGGCGGCGCAATTGGACTTTCTGAAAATGAATCTGCCCAAGGAGAAATGGATCACGTACGAGCAGGATGTGAATTATCGCTATCTGCAACCGTACATAATGGAAATCATAATGGAGAAAGAGGAGGTCAACGATTTCGGTTGCACCAATTATGCCGAGTGGCATTGGCCTAACGAAGAGTTCAAATAACACGTCGTTCGTAACGCATCTTGTAGCGTTTAATAATCAAGAAACCAAAGCAGTTGCTATCGATTTTCTTCTTCTCGAACAAAGAAATATTTCGAGAAATATTTTGCCACGAAATATTCGATCCGAGTGAGAAAGAGAATGGTTTTACCCTCGAATTCGAGGGGTAACCAGGCTCGAGTTTAGAACGCAGACGCGTAATTCTAGAGAGGGTACGTCGACGTGACGATAAAAGTGGATGATGACGGCTCGGCGATGTGTCGGTTCTTGATGGTAACTTCGTTACCCCGCTGCCTTAATTATGGACCACGCATTGAAGTGGGCGTGCCCCGGCAAGGATGCCGCTCTAGAGATTCGAAAATTGCTTCTTGAAGCGCGTCGCGCGTCGCACGGATTCTCTCTGGATTCAAGGAGGCGCTCTTCAAACCTCCACCCTGACCCAGGATCTTGCCCGCGTATTCATCACAACGCGGCGCATCGCTTTTTCCCCCGATTCTTGTACCCTCCCTTTTAAATATACCACGCGCTCCTCACTCGTTACCACCGCCGCCCCAACATTTTCGCCGTGAGTAGATCGCGCTTAATTAAACGCAGACGCGGTATTCCGGTTCCGGTGATCCTTTTCTCTCTCCCTCTCTTTCTTTCTTTCTTTCCACTGCCCTTTTCTCTCTCTCTCTCTCTCTTTCGTATCGAGTACTTTCGCGTCGATTTCTCCTTTCTCCTTTCTTATTAACTCGTTGATCGTCGCTCGTGTAATTTATGGATCCGAAAATACCGAGAGGATCGAGAAGGATTTTTAGAAGGATTTGCAGCTCCTCGAAGAGGAGTAGTTGCTTCCTTTAATCATCGAGACTTTTAATTAGAATTCGCACAAATTTCGCCGAGGACAGAAAGCGAGGGAAAAATTCTGTTTGACGAAATTCGAGATCATAAGACGCGATCGTGAATCGTAAATTGGGATTTTCGTTGCTTATTTTGATATTAAATAAGACGTATAGGCTCCATGGCGTAGCCTCGTTATATAACTGTACAGGATGAGTTTATTCGTTCCGAAACAAAGATTAATTTCACTTTCCTGAATAATTAATATAAACCGTTCTCGGCACGATGGAACTTTCCCCAACGATTATAATTTGATAACTGGGTGGCTGGTTATCGGTGTCACGGATGAACCGATTGTTTCGATTCCATTCAATCGCGCGTTTTATTCGGTTCACGGGCAAACCGAAATCGATTATCGATTATCGAGAATAAAAATCGAATGGCCGTTTTATATGAAACGAATCTCGGATTTTTTTTTTTTTTTTCAACGATGTCGATCTATTTATAATATCGGCAATTCGACAATAACAATGGATGATACACCATTGTAACAATTTAAGTGGTCGATCGTGACAAACAATGGAATACCGGTTACGTTCAATTTGCGGGCACAGTGGGGCGGCCTTTTCACCGGTAAAAGCGTAATTACGCTTCGCGGGGCAACTCGAACCAATCTGAAGGCTAGATCGTTGTGCGGGGAGGAGGTCGAAGGTATCATCAAAGTTTCGCCAAGGATTCCATCTTCTTGTCGAGAACGTTGGCGAACGAGATTATATACCAAGTTATTCCGCGGATCAACGCAATCGATTAACGCGAAATTGTTAGGCTTTGTTCGAGCCTGAATAGTCGAATCGACTCGACACCTCGATGAATACGAGCTAACGGGATTACATTCTGGATGATCGAATTTGACAAGGTCCCGTTATTATTGGCGCCCTATCATTCCTCCCCTGTCAAGTAAACGAAATCTTTCGTATTCGTTTCGTTTTCCCCTAGATAAAATTCCCTAGAGGAGAGATCGAAAAGATAGAGATCTGCAGAACGATGACCTGGCGAGGGGATGGAAAAATATATTTTTCTCGGGCGTGGAAACAGCGAGGGGATCTGATTAGCCTCTTGTCTCATGGTTGGAAAGAGAAATCGCGCGAGCAGCAGGGATAGCAGGAAGGCAACAAAACAGGTGAAAATAGCGGAGCTGAGAATCGAGCGAAGAGGCATCTTAATTTCTCGTCGAGTCGGGAAATATGTCAGCCATTTTTTTCCCTCCCCCCCTTCTCTCTTTTCTCTCACCGTTATTACCCCGTATATTTCGCCGGCATAAATCTCGTTATTATGTTGCTCGCGAGACGAATCATTATACGGCAGACGGTTTATTAAGACGGAAGTTCGACGGGAGTACCGGTTCACAAGCCCGATGACAATTTGCATACATTGTTCCAGACGTTTCTCTCCTTCCTTTAAATTCATCTGAATTCACGGCTGGATGCGTCAATTAAAAGGTATCACGGAACGAAATACAGGGGTTAAAATTGGCCGAGAAGAAAAGTGGGCGAGATGATCGAGGAAAAAGGGAAAATAGTCCCCAGTGGGGAGATTTACGAGAAGAATTGTTAGTTGCGTCCTGTTGCGTGCGAACAATTGAAGCCATTGGCCATTTTACACGGAGATCTGTTGAAATTGGATGCAATAATTTTTTATAAAATTTCTATATACACTTTTTTTTTTTTTTTTTTTTTCTTATCGAGGGATTTGAAAATTGAAAGAGAAAAGCGACTATATGCGTCTATATGGATAAATTCCTCGTTTTTCTCTCGTGGGCGGATCTATCGCCATCGAGAAATCGTATTTTCCTTCGATCGAAAAATGAAAAGCAAACAGACACGAGCCGTGACAACCGCTTCTGCTTGTTTTTTTAGTATTATATTTTTAAGTAGCGAAAAAGAAATTTCAAAAACAATGAAAGATACTCGATAATTTATTCCGTGTCACGAAAAGATGTTTCGTTCAGAAGCGATTTATATTATCGGATCGGATGAAACTAGAGTTATTTTTTTTTTTTTAGATCTTTCGTGTGCCAAGGGAATGGGGAAGTATTTTATTCTAAAATGTTCTAGCGAATATAACGTGGTTTGACAAGGGTAGGAAAAGAGAAGAAGGATCAACGCAATTTAACTGTAAATAGAATTTAAAACAATAAGAACAATACAATTAATTTGAAATCGTCGAGCACTTTAAATAAACGGATTTCGGAGATCAATTTTTGTTCCCTTATTAATCACATTTTCCGTAATACGTGCCTTCAAAGGAAAAAATCGTGGAAAAACAATTTCGAGAATTGTTGCACGGTAATTTCTATTCCTCGGGGAAAAAAAAAAACAAAAAAAAGAAAAATTGAAAGATCGAAAAATGATTAAGAACGANAAAAAAAAAAAAAAAAAAAAAAAAAAAAAACATTATTTCGCCTGTAATTACACCAATCTGAATTTAAATATTTAAAATCAATTTATATATTTGCAATATTGTAATATCGATGGGAATTTTCTTCCGCCAACGAAACACCAGTTATAAATGCTGCACCGTAGTTGGAATTAATTTATTTAATTCTTGGATAAACATCAATCGTTCAACACTTTCCAATTAATTAAAACTTCTTGCGTGTGCGCCACGCCAACACGCGTGAAATCCATCATCCCTACCTACCCACCATTCATATTTCCATTTTCTCCGCGTTATACGACCAACTTGCGTATTTGTGAGATTTCGTTCCTCGATCAAAAACACAACGTAACCTTCTCCCTTGATAAAAACTGATCGATGCATTCTTCATATCCAAGACACGAGTTCTTCGCGTCCAAAACGCTATTCCCATTCCCCAAATGTCAAAATTTCTTCGATCGATCCTGAATCCTAATTTCTGCTCAAAGATGCATCGAATCGATCGTCATCCATAAATTCATACCGTTATAACCAGAACCCGCGTCAGAAGAATTTGCCCGACAATCCCCCTCCCCCCGTCCCTCCTCAAGGACAATCGGAATTATTAAAAATTTACCAGGGAATTTATCGGGAAAGTTTGGAGGGGGAAGCTTTCATCACGATGCTCGCCAAGTCGGGCACGTCGCCGCTTTTATTAGTTCGTTAATTTAATTATCGAGAAAGCGAGAAAGCATCAAGGAAACACGCGACGCAGTAGCGTAGCTTGGTGTAATTGAATTGTAAGCCGTCTTCGCGATGCCTACGAGAATTCTGTCTCTTGTAGTTAGGAGCAATATCGACGCCATCCCCCTGGAATTCGACGTTTTTGGCGTTTCAACTCGCAGGATCGCCGCTGCGGAATTAAAAATCAATTCCGCGAGTTCCGTTTCGTCCACCTCCTCCTCGCGCGGAGGGAAGATCCCCTTTCGATAATTACGAAGCGGGGAAACGATACGCGAGAACGAGATTTCGGGATAACGCGGCAACTTTCATATCCCTTTCGACAGGTCTGTCGCCTGGAACGTTGGAAAATCTCTGGATTGGACGCGAAACCGATAATTGAAGGGTCGATGGACAACGAACGGAGGAGAGGGGGATGGATAGAAAACCGACGCGAGCATTTTTCCGTTTCCGATCCGATGAAAATGTCTTGGATCGTTTCGATTTTTTTTAAAAATTCCGCGTTTTTTTTCTGTTTTCTTTTATTATTTCTTTTTTTCTCTCTCTCTCTCGAAACGACAATCGTTGGAACGTACTCGAATCGGGGACGATAAACGGGTTCGAAATGAAGCACGTGCTATCCGCAAAGTGCATTAAAACGTGACCGAAAGGAGGAGAAATTTTTTATTAAAATTCGCGAAACACCGTTATGCGGCTGTACAAATTGCACGCACGCGAATTCACGAGAATCACGGGGGGGGAAACGCTTTAATTAAACGTGACTCCAATAAGAAGTTTCTCTCTTCCCCGACGTTGAGCGAAATTCGCTTGTAATATGTGCGGTGTAATAAATTCTAGTCGTCAATGTTTTTCCCGCCGAGAGGAAAATCGCAGAAATAAATTCGCCTTTACGTGGAAATTATTGCGGATTTCGTCATATCGCGATTCGATTCGATTCGATTCGATACCATCCTGCGATGATCGATTCGACCATCATTTATAATTTGTAATAACACGAAAAGCACGAACACGCCGCTCAACAGAAC